TTTGTTAAATTTGCGTTGATGGTACATAAATAACAAATATCATTATCGCGACACTTTATACTCGGGATTACGAGTAAATTGAATTAATTGTGCAATCTTGACGTTAAACGAATAAAAGTCAGAATCAAGCGTATTCAAAGCTAACGTTACGTCAAACGGAAGCGCGTGCAATCCAATTAAAAACATTTTTTGTAAAATTCTGTGATATTTTTCTCGCTTTTTCGAAACAAGCTCTTTTCGTTTGAAACGAGCGGGAAAAATACATCGGACACTTGATATTTCGCGCACCTTTATCATAGGGCTTGACGAGTTTCCGCCCCGATCAACAGCCCGCGATCAACAGCGTGATTATTTGTGACGCGCGTAAACTTACTTACGAGTTGACAAAGTGCCGGAGAAGAAAATCGATCGCGAGGATCGAGCCTGCATCGTGGTGGTCTGTATCGTGACGAGCTCTCTTGGCGCGCGAGCGATCGAAATTGCGCAGGCGGTCGACCGGAAAATAGGGCCGCGCCCTCCCGAATAATTTATCCCGAAGTCGCGTCGCATCGTCTTCAAAGCATCGTTAGAGAGGAGCTGACGCAAAAACGGCTGGCGACACATAGTTTCGCTTTTATACGTCGCAAACTTGGTCGTTTAAAATCGATCGTCGGAAAATGAGTCACTGACAGAAGGATCAATTCTCGGATCACGTGATTGACAAACGTCAAACGTAAATCGCAGCTAATAAATATCGTCAATCTGCCCTATGATTAGTGAATAGACTATCTGTATGCTAAACTGATTGTAAAGATTGGAGAGAGAGAGAGAGAGGGGAGAGAGAGAGGGGGGGGGAGAGAGAGAGAGAGAGAGAGAGAGAGAGAAAAAGAGAAAGAGAGAGAGAGATCAACATCTTCAAAGATTTTTCTTTCGCCGTAAAAGAAGGGTGAGAGAGTTAAGAGAGTGAATATTCAACATATCGGAGCAAGTACGAGTTTGCGTATATCTGAAAAAGCCAAACACGACCGGATATAATCGAAGTATATTGGATTCATTACCCTCTTTTGTTTCCGGATACCAGATAGTCAAGTATCTGCCCGAATCCATTAATTGAATGCTCTCATTGAATCCTCAAATGCTTTTATGTTTCAGTCATTTAAAAGCCCTTCGTCCTCCGTTTTCCAAAATAAATGCGTATTGACGCATTATCTGCGTTAAGCATAGAGGACAAGTGTTGAGAAATAAAACCAAAAAAAATCCCATTTTTCACATAAAGTGTCTCTGTGAATAAAGATTCGGCCATGGCTTGACGGCAGGTTATTGTTGCCTCCATAGTCAAGGCTTATATACTTTCATACGTTTTACTACCCGACACGAAAAGGGCGGGTAAAGCGGACGCGACAAAGCGATTTTTAACCCTTTTGCGTTCAGAGGACGTTGCACAAACTTTTAATAGAGAGTCTGGAGCGCGCGAACAGTTAAAGCCGGGATAAAGTTTTCCGAAAGCCAAAAAATAGAAAAAATACGAACCTTTTAACCTACGAAAATAATCGAGATGCAAATTAGTGTAATATTTAGGAGAGTCAATTATTATACTAAAATATTGATTGAATTAAAAAGAGGGAGAGTCTTTGAAACTGTTAAAAAGTTACATCAACGCACTAAACGCTAAACGCATGAACACTAAAGATCTTTGAAATCTCTGAATATTAAAAAAAAAAACTTTGAAATCACAAATTATTCTTTATTGCGTTTTTATTTTATTACAATTTTTCTAAAGTTACCCGATAAATCAAATCTCATCTCGCTTTAAATATTTGTTCTTTAAAAAATTGAATTAATAATAATACTATATTAAATAAGTTTTTGATCGTATAATTTCTAAAGATATCGCACAAAAGATTGTTGTCAATCATTTCTTTTATTAATGTACCTTAATGAAATAAAGAAAGAAAATAACCTCTCGTCTTTTTAATGCTAATATGATTCTGGCTTTCAAAATGCTCCATAATTTAAAAAAAATTTGCAATTAAAGTTGCAAAAATAATTATTGTAATATATCTTACCATGTGAAGGAGCAATTGCGCCAAATTTAAAATACTTTAATTCAATTGAAATAACTTATACTAGCTATTAATTTTCTCTTGTTAGCTTCTCACTAAAAGAAAGAAAAAAATAAGCCGAAATATATATTTTTACTTTTCTCATCTTGAAATAACTCTCTCATTCATGTTATCCAAGCATTATATATTGTCTTCCTCAAAGTGTAAGAGGAAAATTCGCCAATTCTCGAGTAAGTACACGGACTCTCCTGTTCCATCCAAGATTTCATTTAACTCCCCGCTACATCCGATGTCAACGAGACGGTGCTCTGTCCGATTACCCGGATTCTGCTCTCCAGCAAAACTCGCTCTGCTCTTTTAGCCAGACGGACCTCGCAAATGCAAGCGCGCGCGTCGGATAATCTCGTCAGTTTTCACATACATGTATACAACCGAAGATTTTCGTAGAGGCAATATATTTCCGTGAGGGAAATGTGTACGCAAAAAAGAAAGAAAGGGAGAGAGAGGGAGGAAGATAGAGACAGACCCGCGTGCACACGGGTGGGCTATCTATAGCGGCCGAGTGTAACCGAACGGCGACCGAGTGTCACTCAAGGGTGACAAAACTCATTAATACCGATCTGCTTAATGCGCCGTCGCGTGTCTGACATTAATCTACTTAAAAATACCTGTGCGCAGAAAGAGAGAGAGAAGGAGCGCGAGCGCGCCATTTCAGATCATCCGCGTCGCGGTTCCACTTTGTTAACATGCATGCATGCATCGGACGATCTCACGGCACGCGCTGTGCATCCTGCTGTTAATATCCGCAGGGTCCTCTTTTCCCTTTCCATTCGAAGAAACTTCTCGCGCAACAAGACCGCAACTCGAAAAGGAAACGGAAATGGCAAAAGTTTCGATCCCGAACTCCTCCGCCGATCTCTTATCTCACGTCTCTCGTGGTTTCGCCGTTGAACTATTTTAGATGAGTCCAACGCACGATCAATCGCATGACTCATATATACAGAAAAAGTGAGATATTATTTTTGTATCTGACCTATAGCCACTGGCGACGTGTCTTTGATATCTTTGTACGCGAGACACTGATTTATTGTTTCCATATAGATGGTTTCCATAAGATTCGCTTTAATAATTTTGTCCAGCCCCTGAACATCAGAGGTCGACAAAAAATTAATATTCGAAGTAAAGAAATGAAAAATATTGATGCAAGCTATTCTTTTCCAGAGGTTATAAATAATTAATATGAAATAATTTTTCCTCCATTTTTATATATTGATTAAAATTTTCTATTGTAGTAAATTTCAGGGATCATGCAATGAATATTTCGAAGATTGCATTTTTTTTATTAGAGATTTTAATTGAAATAATTATTTCTCTCTTTGTATAATCACGTCAATCTTGTGAAGATATGTGTGTGAATATTATTTTCGTGAAGATTATTTTATTTATGTTATTGATTTTTCTCTTACAATTTATTTTTTTTCAAATCACATTAGTTGTTTTTGTAAATTAGTATGAAAAAAGCTTACTTTTGAAAAAAGATTACTTTTGAAATAACACTTTAAATGGTTAACATATTATTTATAAATTTTAGATATGATTTCAAATAAGAATTTTTGATCATTTTTTTAAGCTTATTGATTTTTAAGCTTATTTGATGAAACTAAATGTGTGCAATAAATATTTGCACTTAATATTTTTCAATTAATATATGTACTTATTTATGCGAGAGATAAAATTTTAAATAATTTTATTTAATATTTTAATGACCTGCATTCGCGCTTATTACTAATCAAGCAAAATAAAATTGCTTTTAAAACTGTTTGATAATAATTTTGTTTCGAAAAAACAAATGTATATTTTGTAAATTTGTTGGTCCTATAAATTTTACGTATATGTATGTATTTTCACGTATGTAATTTGCACAAAATTTATATAACATTTATCAAATTATAGTAAAAAAATTGAAAATTTGCAATAAATATAAATAATATCGAGTGTCCATTAAATTCTTCTTCCAGAAAGAGAAGAAAAACTTTATCGTCGAATCTGCTAAGAGCATATCCGACGATTTCTGGGGAACATACTGTACGCGTGTATCAGAAAAATACATTTACCCGCCTATTTTTATTCGACGCGTGCAACGAACGCGAATTTAATCTTACGGGCTTTAGAATCGCAGCGGTCGCCTAACGATCGCGCGCTTGATGCTGCCTTATGCGATGCAGATGTTGATGATTTTTTGCGTGACAGGACGACTCATGAGAGACGAGAATCGCAAACCGCGGTGCGACCCGATCGCTCGGCGCTTCTGCTGCAAATATCCGCCGTACATTCTTGCCTCTAACGACTTTTCCGCGCCGCGTGCGCTCCTGGCTAATGACATCCGCGATAATCGTGACTAAAATGAGTTTAAGAATTAGGGTGAAAATTCGAAAATGCAAAGCTTTTTTTAATTTATAGTAATTTTCAACACAGTTTAACACAAAAGAGAGTAATAAATTTTATTTTCTTCTCCTTTTTGGAAGTATAATATTAATTAATTGAAAACTGTTGTTATAATAGTTTCTTAATTATAATTAAGCTTGTAATAAGCTATAATAAGTTATAGACGAGAGAATTAAATTATTGAAGCGTGGAGGAAGAAAAATTTAACTTGCGCAACAATTTTCGATGCAAACTTTGAGAAAGTTAAATGGAATAAATATGTATCTTTCTATTGGACTCCACGAAAAAGCGCGGATCGATATAATTTTTATTTAACTTTTTACTTAATACAAGAATATCATCGCGGTAACTCTGATGTTTCGATGCGTATATTGTCTTTTTATTATTATGTAACTCCAGTTACACGATCGCTAAAAGTGAAACGTCAGATGGAACTAAAGCAGTAAATATTTTCTGTCGAGAATCTAAATTTGTATAAGCAATCGTATGCAATATGGAGTAATATTCACTCACCGTTAATTGGTTGAAACCTCGCCAAAGGATCCGAGAATTGCCGAAGTCTGTCTGTCACGTACTGCGACGATTCTCCATTCTGTAAATAAAGGAAAACGAATGTATAGAGCTGAACAAGTATAGTTATTACGCGACGCAAATGAAATATAGTTCGGATATAGTTCGCCGATTATTCGAGAGCTAGATTAGACGAGCGTGCTCGAGAATAATGGATTCTCGATAGGAACGAGGAAGGGTAGGAAAGGATTTGGATAGAGCTTCGAATTAAATCGCGACCGATATCTTTCATATGGAAAACGTCGATCGAGATAGTTGGCAACATTAATCGACAAAGATTTGCATTTGACAGACGGAGAACCGAGAGATGTAGATTCGGGAGAAGCATGAGACTATTTTCACGAACATACACGCAGATCGCGACATCAATCAATGTCTTATTCCGATTTTTTTGTCCAAGTCGGTCCATTCGAACGAGGCGAAATGCACGTCCAAACCTCCCGACTTCGCGGACGTAGCGAATTAATCTCCGAAAGCCAAGTTGCAGCGGATTTTGATCGTAAACTCGAGAGCACGAAACCCGGTCGAGTCTCAGTTTATCCTCTTGGTCGAAGATCATCCGGAAGGTATTCCGCGAGCGGAGCGTGACGACGATAGGTGGGAAGCAACGATGGGAGGAATCACTGGAATTATCGTTACCCAATTTGCTTCTCTCCGCGCGGCCCCAACTATCTCGAAGCTCGAGAGAAATTGGGTCACATCGGCCGAGCAGGAAGCGCACCGGGGCGGATGCGCGAATCGACAATCGAACGTGCGGTACGTTTATTTGCTTTTAATCCCTTGTTGTTTGCTTTAATTGTGAGGTAACGTGGAAAACGATTGAGAAAAGACACCGAGTTCACGCGCCTGATTCAATCGTCATTATGATAGTCGGCGTTATTTTTTATTGTCATGTCAGCAGCGCCAATTTTTCTTGCATTCAATATTTTGGCCCTTAATTAATTTGTGCAAACCTCATTAATATATTTTTTTTTATAAGGACATAAAGATAAAGATTATCAGAACAAAGAAAAACTAAGATATCGAATGATTATAAAAACGTCGTTTTTGCAATCATTTTTGCAATCATTATTAAGACACTTGTATGAGCTCCCCGTCATCATAGATGATATTTCGGCCTCGTCCCAAAAGTGCAAAATGTAACTCAACCTCTCTAAATAATGAGAATACACACTATGACAAGCGGACCGAAGCGATGTCTAGCCTTGTCGTCCAAGCACTTCAGTTACCAGCATACTATATGCCAGGAGAGACATATACAGGATGATTCACGACATGATGCGGCACAAATTTAGGATTTGAATTCTGACGTAATTTCAGGAGCGAAAGGAGATTTATTTAAAGAACGGCTCCGATTTCGGGGATAATAAAATTGCAATTTACGCTTTTCATAAAAATTATATCGCGACACGAAATAAAAAAATTCATAAATATCGATTGATCAAATATATGTATGATACACATTGAAAGCTATACTTCGAGAAAAGTATACTTGAATGAATTCGCATCTATTTCGGTACTTATACAACCGTATATGTGTTTTGCTATCAAATGCGAAATCACTGATGCCGCAGCGCGTTCAATTAATCCGTCCACGTGCAAGAGCCCTTTCGAACAGTCCCCGTGATATGCATTACATTGCGCCATAGTGTCGTAATACAAACCCACGTAATCATGACATAATTGTGGTGACGCGCGTGACTGTGAGTGGTGCGCAAATTTGGCTCTAATTAGGCTGTAATAAAATCATGTAGCATGAGCTGTATGACATTATCGAGGATAACGGAGAGAAGGAAAAAGGAGCATGGAAGAAATTTATAATTTGGAGCAGCAAGAAATTATTTTTTCGAGAGAAACTTGTGCAACGATCCAGAGAATCATAAATTAAACAAATGAATATAATTAATCTTTTTTAAAATTATAGCGTACGTTAATAACACAATAACAGAAAAAAGAAAAAATAATTATTTATAACGCAAAAATAATTATTTTTTGTAGCCTTTAGGTTATTTCTAGCTACATTTCTAGCTGACATACGTGAAAGATTTCATTTTATTTCAACTTTTCATTTTATTTTAATTTTTACAAATTAATTTGAGAACCAAAATTTCTAAGAATAGATATATTTAATTTTGAAAAAAAAAATCTTTTTTTTTAATACGTTACATATTTATGAAAATTATAATCTGATATTAAGGTACGTTAAAATACTCTCTTTTTTAACAATTTAAAATTTTACAAAATTGCGACGCCCAGTAAGCAATTTGAAAGCTGCAGTTGCTCGTAAAAGAAATTACGAGGAATAAAATTTGTTTTTTTTTTCTTAATTTAAAAAGAAAAGATATTTGTTGAACATGTGTAATTAATTAAACAGTATGAACGTCTGCGTTTTTTACGAATTTTCTTAAACACAGAAATGTCTTCGGGGATTCTTCCGGTGATGGAAAAGCGAATTGAGCACGTCTCGTGTATCGTGCAATAAATATTTATATGCGCCGGGGCGCACGTGGCGTACAACAATTTTTCCTCTGTCTTATGCCAGCGAGAGTCGTAAACCCCGAAGGATGCTTCGCGCGCACGCGATTTAGGACTACGTGGTTACAAACCGAGAGAAAAAGAAAGAAGGACAGAGAGAGCGTTTAAACGAAATGTTCCCGGATTGTTACTTACGAATTGTAGATTCTGGCGGAGATGTGCGCGCGAGCGCATCTATATGGGGGATATATAAGCGTCGCTAATGTATCCGCCGACAGGCGCGATAATGCACCCCGTAGATCGCGACGACTGAATAAATTCCGAATAATCGCGCGAACTGGGAATACGAAGCGCGTTTAAGAGATATTCTCGCGCGCGCGTGATTTTCAGATCGCTCGCTCCTGTTACAAGAAATCTTCGAAGACGTACGGGGAAAGGATATTCGAGAAAATGACTTTGACGCCGCATAAATCACTTACATATTTTTCTCTTTCTCTGTTTCCTCTCCCTCTTGTCCCTCCCCCTCTTTCTTTCTTTCTCCACAAGGCGTATAATCATGTATGTATGTATTATTATCGATTGTGTAAGATAATGAGAATGGTTCTTGCAGCAATTAAATCAATTTTATCTTGTTGCTAATTAATTATAATTATAATAATTTAAAGATAATAAAGTTATACACAATATGTTAATTTAGGTACAAGTTTGATGACAGCAGAAGTAGTTTAGAGATAATTTTTTATCGATTAAAATTGCTTACATGTTACCAATCGATCTCCGAATCACATTAAATAAAATCTTTTATTTGTATCAAAATAATAAATAAATTCTCAAAAAAAATCTAAATAGAAAATCATCCTTTGCTGAAATTTATCGCGTGAATATTGAAAAGTATTTGAAGATTTTCCCTTCGCATATATATTGTAATATCTATGCAATTTTGATAGCGAACATTTCACTAAACAAGAGAGCTTAATTTGATGCAAAACTAATAGTACGTCAGAAACAGATTTGAATTGTCACTGTGTTATATGTATACGAAGACTCTAGTGCGTCCATGTCACGTCCTTGTCATCATTTTACAATGTAATCTCGAAGAAGCAAGAGCTAGGATAGACGTCAAAGTTTTTTGCGATTATATTCTACAATTTGAAATAAATAATAATCTGATATAATTATCTGATTTCTATTTATCAATAAAATTATCACTCGAAGAATTAGAACTTTCATCTCAATCTCGCTTTCCTGATCGTGTCCTTTTCAGATATTTATAAAAATAACATAAAGTGGACGCAAGTGACCACGCATATGGAGAAACATAAAAAATATATTAAGGAATAAAACGAACAGAGAGAAACCGAAGATACGAGAGGGAGAGAGACTAGATGGATGTGAATGCAACCAGGCGGCCAGAAATCAGAGCTTAACGGGAAGGCGATCGTTTCGATCGGCATTGAAAGCTCGTTTTCCCCCTCAGTGGCTACCATCGGAGCACGGTCGGCGAATGCACATCGATGCATTCCGGGGATGCGAGGGAAGTCTGCGGAATCAAGTCCGTGACTGGGAATCACTTCTCCAGAGAATCGGCCGCATTCTCCCTCCCTCTCTCTCCCTCTCTCTCTCTCTCTCTTTCTCTCCCTCTCTTTCCCTTTCGATCGATCAACGTGACGCGTCATCGAATATCGATCGCATCTCTCTATCCGCGGAATTCGGTTCTCTTTTTCCCTCTTTCTCTCATTTATTCCCTTCGCATTCACAAGCGGCACAAAACACACGTTAAGCATTTCATTCGGTCCCGTATCATCTATTTGTCCCTAAGACGTGCATCTATATGTGGCGAACTATTCTCGGAATGAAAGAGACTCTCCTACTGTCCTGTAACCGTGTGTTTCGTGAAACACTCTGCGACACATTCAGCGCGATATACCCTTTCGACGATAGGGAGATACGTGTTCAGGGTGTAAATAACGTTATCGATTGCGATCGGCCGAGAGCCAAAGAGAAAACGGTCGCTTTACGATAACAGCGAGAGGGAAACTATCAAAATTTATCTTTGTACTATTTCGTTTTTGAATTCTAGTCCCTCTCTGTGTATGTATGTATGTATGTACGTATGTGTATATATATATATATATATATATATATATATATATATATATATATATAGCCGAGAATTCAAAATAAAAGTTTATACACACACATATTTACTACTTCCTATCAGATTCCTATCGCAGTTGATTTCGCGAAATCTATTTCTTTTTTATTTTGTGACAAGCAAACGAAAAAATTCAAGTCTGCAAAATTGTTCGGTTAAACTATATAAAAAATCATGCGCATGTAGATAATATTATCAAAAAAATATTCTACTACTTTGCTGTTTAAATTATATATTTCAAAGAAAAAAATCTTAAACTTTAACAAAAAAGTATAAGCGACAAATTCAGCAGAAACAAACAGAAACTTTAATGAGAAAAATAATTTAGTGAATTTAATTCATATCAGTTCTGATATAAAACATGCAAGATTTAATCGATCTAGAAATCTAAGTTGATTTCTCATAAGTAGATTTTTGGCGTTTTATTCCTTAATATAATCTTTACCTTTTCTCTATTAATTTATAATATTAATTGACTTGAAATATATCTACTATATAAATATTTACTATATAAATAAAAATCATATATAAAGAATCGTCTCTCTTTATTTTATTTCTTTCACAGCAAAAAACGTGCAAGAGTTATCGTTTATCCGCTCCTATTTTTCGAAAACATTATTTTATATAATATTTATTAAATAGACAATAAAATTAATATACACCTTTACGATCAATTAACAATCTTCCCTAAAAATCTTCTCATTTTAATAAACGCAACTAACGCAACTCACTCTGTGCGTATCTTATACACAAACACTCGTGCATCGACTCCCTCTGATGTGAATCTCTCAATCAACCCGACGGCGATTACATCTACCTATGTATCCCGAGACCCGAACACCCCGAAGTATCCCCGAGTATTAATACCGAACGAAAATCCCTCGGCGGCGTTTGACGCGTTCTCTCTCTCTATCTCTTTCTCGTCGTACTTAGAGGGTTAAGCGAGTCCGTCGAGGCGGTGGAGGGATAAGGTCGACGAAAGCGCGAGACAAATTACAGAATCCGGGGGGGCTTTGTAAGACGCGGAACGCCCAGACCGCGGAACGTCATCCTGAGAGGAGCGGAAAAGGAATTCCTGAGAGAGCGAGCGAGCGCAGGAATTTCGCGGCGCGACTCGCCGCCATCCACGGGAGTCTATCTCTCCCCTTCCTCCCCTTCCTCCCGCCCGTCCGAGGGGATTACACAATGAAATATATATTTCCCCGTTTTCTCTGTATCCTCGCTAAATATAATCTCCGCGCGAGACCCAACAAATCTCGATGGCGAAAAAACAACGAAATCGAAAGAGAGATTCTCTCTCGCATCGGATCCCATCAGGTCAATCCCTCCTCTCATCCGTTTTCTCACCTTGCCGGAGGAGAGTATTAACGATCGGAGATCGCTCGATAATGTTACTTAAAAGCACTTTAAACACCGGACGGAGAAGCGAGCTCACGATTTTCCCGAGGAAAGTGAGCTCGGAGTTCAATTGAATTCCGCTCTCGTCGGCGATCGCGAGCACACAGACCTATTTCTTTTCCCGGCTACGAAAACCAGATAATTTGTGTGATCCTCTGAATCTCCGGAGTCATTCAAACCCTTCTGCCCTTCGACCTAAACCGGAATGTCAACCGCGATCCAACATCAAACAGCAGGTTGTACTTGAGACATACCAGATTCTCTTGGAATTTGAGGCCGTCTTTGCGAAACGCGATGAAAGAATTCTTATTGTTAAATTATACATGAATTAGTATCCTTTGAAATTAGATATATCACGTTAATAATACTTTCTTACTGAATATTTTATAGGTTTTTTATATTTTCGATAATATACATATATATAAAGAGATAATAAAATTCTCGATTCGAATGAACGCGAGACGCAATGTCGATAGATCTTTCATAACAGTGGATAAAACCTGTCGGATGTAACGTGTTCGGAGGTAACGGGTTTGAAAAAGAAAAAGAAAAAAACACAATTACATTCCAATTAACGTCTGAAATCGAAATGGCTCCGAGACGTCCATCTCTCCGTGATGTATCGCTGACGGTTGCTCGACGCGAAAATTAACGAACCCGGCAAATTGAAAATCTCCATTCGCGATTTCATCATTCGAATATATCCGAGACACGCGTAAATTCTGAATTTTGACGCAAGAATATCATATTACATATTGTGAAATTATAATTCTTTAACGTTATTGACAGATATATTAATAACTTAATTAATGATATTCTTTGACCACACAACTGCCACATTTTAATTTAAAATTATATATGTATAATATATACATAATAGAGTGTCTTAAAATCCCTTTAAGGACAGATTCTCGAGATAATTTGGAGACAATTTTTTCTCAGCAAAAATATTGACACATCAATAATTTTTGAATTATAAGTGATAAAAAAAGAAAATTGCTTTTGCACACAAAATTTTATGGGGTTTAAGTATATATTTTATGAAATTTTATTTTTAAATTTAAATTTACTTGAAGGTTGCCAGTAAATAAATAAAAGAAGTAATTAAAATCGATCACCACTGGCAATATTTATTGAGGTAAAAAATCACAACGTTTCGACCATAGGTTTTGATCCTTTTCGAGTGAACTACAAAAAATTATTTCCAGTATTACAACAATACAATTTTATTTTTAATATGCGTTTGAAAAATTATACCAATATTTTTTTTCCGAACGTTTCCTTGTATGCACGCAAAATGCATTTGCGCAAACAATGTTTTCGCTGTGGTAATTATTACAAGCGACAGCGCGTCCTTTTAAGAGCGAGAAACTCGAGCAAAATTCATTTTACGGCCACTAAAAAAACGATGATCTGAGTTAATGGTGTCGCGGGTCAAAAACCATTAGAGTTGGTCGCTTGTGTGCGATGCACGTGTCAGACATGTGCGTGAACTGTGTAACTCCTAAATGCATCTCGTTGCAGAGGAACGCAATGTTTCGTTCTTTCAAATAATTATAAAATAAATATGACATAAAATGTAATCATCATTTCTAATTGTTTTTTATAAATTTTACACAAGAATCGTTAATTTTATTATAGGGCAACATTATATTTGCAATATCATTAATTAAATATTTTTCATAAAATATTTTTCATAAAATATTTTTTTTGTTTTTCTCATCTATATTTATTTGTTTTTATAAAAAAGACTTTGCTTAATTAAAAAATCTCTTCTATTAAATCATAAGGTATTTAATGTAAAAAAATGGAAAAAATTATTTAATGAAATTAATTATTTAAATGAATTATTTAAATGAATTATTTAAATGAATTATTTAAATAAATTATTTTAATGAATTATTTAAATTTAATGTAAAAAATTTACTCGACAATTTTTACCATAAATCAAACACAGATAATTTTAATGAATGGAGTTCTCAACAAGCTCGATTTGAATGTGGAATATGAAATTTCCCGCTGAGCCTAATCCCGGAGTGTATGCTAATCTTATTAATTTGTACTATCGGACGTCTTACATACCATATTCTCGGCGGAAGGGTGATCCTGATGTCCGGGGGACCGATTTCCCTGCAGTAGCGCCTCGAGACTCTCGATGTACTCGATTGCATTCCGCAGTATCTCCACTTTCGGTAAACGCTGATTAGGGTTGTTGCTCGTTCTCCTCTTAAGCACTTCAAAGGCCTCATTGACCTACAATAGAAATTGCGCGATTAACTATTAATATACCGCCGATTGCCTAAGCAATACGTATAGACATAGCGATACACGACGCGTGCTTTTTATTATTTTGGTAACTACTCTCTTAAATTAATGTATTATCGCTGAAAAGCAATAATATTAGGAATAATTATAAATGTACTAAATCTCGATAAAATCTCATTAAAAGAATCAATTCGTAGTGGCTATTTCAATCAGAAAAAATAATATTTTAAAAATGTGATTCTTATAATATTATATTTGAGATAAATTTATATAATATTAGAGAGAAAGTAACATATTTTATTAAAAAAATATCTGAATATAATCAAGAATCTTGTTCATTTTTTGTGGATTTATTATCTTAAAAATTAAAAAAATATAATTCTGTATTTAAATATTAATCTGAGTTTAAATATTAGAATTAAATATATTTGTTTTATTCCGGATAAATAGGTGAAAAAATCGCGAAAGTTTTAAAAGCTACATCTTGCAAATAATATATATGTAAAGAAAATTAGCTTTACGAGAGAACCAAATGGAATTACTGTCGAAGACTATCAAGCTAGAAGAACTTTATTGATGAATAACAACGTACACTTTTCTCAACGTACGAATATTGACTGATTAATACAATGTTTTCATCTGCGTCCTTGTATTTTTCGCCTTTTCAATGCCTGTGTAGTGGGGCATGTCCCACTAACAATAAGCTGTACTGACATGTCGCCGAATATATTATGTATAATATATATATGATTATTACTAACTTTTCAAATATGAATTAATTTTTCAATCAGTTGAATGTTTTCACTAAAGATCGATAAAATACTCATTGATTTTGTAGGAAATCTTATATCGGTGTTTTAATCAATGAATTACATTTTCACTGATTCAATTTAAAAAAGTCCGAGCAAATCGTTCTTTCATTTATCGTCCAAATTTTTTTTAAATATCAAACATCCAGTTTATATGTAATAAAGTTTTTTCTACTACTGAATAGGCACTGTGAAGGGATAAAAAATTTCTCTTAAAATTCCTCCTCGTGTAGTCCCCGGTGTAGTGTCGAATTTCAAATGACTCTATGAGATTTAATATTCTCGTGCCCATTCTCGAAACATCATTCGTCATTCGAATCGTCCAAAGAGCGGCGCTTAGTCGCGACCGATCCACTTCGCAGATGTTTTCCTTCCGTCAGCGCGCTCTCTTTGAGGTTGTTTACTTCGAAAACACGATTCGCGCGCGGCATGTTTTAAGTAATTACAGACGAGCCAAAACAGCAACGTACGTAAATTCGGTAAATACGATACATAGACGCGCATCAGAGAGATATTACAATCGACTCTCTCCGTGTCATTTTAAAAATATACTTACAATCAATCAAAAATTCAAAGAATCCAGGTAATTAATTTACCAAGATTCTTTCAAATGTTGACAGAAATAGAAAGAGAGGGGACGATAATAAGAGATATAAATGGAACACGCACAGAATGAAAAGTGCACGCGACGTTTCCGGAACGGAAATGCATTTCGAGAATGAGTGGAAACTGACCTTTCTCAAGCGCCGTCTCTCGCGCAAAGTGGCGGCTTTCCTCCGATCGACGGTGACCGTCTTCTTCTTGCAAGCCTTGCAGGCCCACAGAAGGCATCTGCGTGGACCATGCGGCGAACCGGCGTCCAAAACGTGCGGATGCGGCACGTGCTCGATCGACTCGCTCTCGTTCGTCTCGTTGGTCTCGCTAGTCTCGTTTATCTCGTCGGCGTCCGCGGAACCGGACTCGAGGTCGGCCGAAGCGTCCGCCGATATCACTGACGAAGCGTCGTCCGAATCGAGGGCGTAGCGGGACTGCGATCTGAAAGCATTAATCGCTTTATATAAATATTCATTGAATCAGAGAGAGAGAGGGGGGGAGAGGAGGAGAGAGGGAGGAGAGAGAGAGAGAGAGAGAGAGAGAGAGAGAGAGAGAGAGAGAGAGAAAGGGGATAAGGAATAGGATAAAAATTACTCTTTTTTTTTCAAGGATTTTCTCTCATCGAGAGAGAAAATCCTTGAAAAAAAAAGAGTAACTTTTATTCCTTATCAATTGTCAGCATTCATAATGTTACTACTGTTTTTTAGTGAAATAGTTTTGTTTCATTTTTCTTTTTATCTTTATCTCGCAGTGCAATGAAGAAAATTATATCAGGATGTTTCCTGCAACTGACGTATTTTGCAATTTGTACATCAATGTAATCAAATTCTTGAAAAAAAAAAAAAAAACAGTAATTTTCATCCCTTATAAACTGTCAGTATTCATAATTTTACGTTTTACTGCTTTTTTTAAAATAAAATAGTTTTGTTTCATTTTTCTTTTTAGCTTTATCTTGCAGTGCGATGAAGGAAATTACATCAGGATGTTTCCTGCAAACTGTATTTTGCAATTTGTACATTAATGTAATTTAACATTCTGCTTTGAAGTGTCAATTTAAAATCAGTAAATACGATTGACTAATTTGATCTGCAATTTATTTTTATTGACATCTGTCGCAAGATGAGAATTGACATTTTTTGCTCTCTCAAAGATTCAATTTTAAGATATATAAAAAGAAAAGAAATGTATTTAAAAATGTGTACTTTCATGAACAAATTAAAAAAAAGTGCAATATTTTATTTTATAAATTCAATATATAACATCATATAATTCATATTATACCATATTTCATAATGTTTTTGTAGTTTTCAGTATGTCATTTTTTGAAATCAATTTCACAGACCTCAACTTTCGTCCGTTTCATTTTTTGTCCATTTAAAAAAAAATATATCTGCTAAAAAAATTGGAATATAATATTATTATAAAAACTGTAATATAATATGAGAAAGCACATTCTATAAATAATTATTTGTGAATTTGAATTTTTACTTTTAAGCTATAGAGTTCTCAAAGACTAAATTCGAGTACCTCTTCGCTATATTTTATCTGTAAAAATATTCATCTTTCGAGATAATATAACGTAGTTGCAAAAAAAATGTTACGTTTTTATTCGAGTATAAATGTATAAATGTATATAAATTTTCCGCGTGCATGTCACCGTTTCACGTAAAACGAATTGTTGCACCGAGCGTAAGAGTCGTGATGCAAACGTGCGCTGAAAGATCCGGTATAGGCGTTTAGTAAGAGAACGAATTCTTGCCTTAATCATCCTTTAGTTATCGCGACGGCGGTTAATAATGGACGCAGGCGCGTAGGTCCATCACGAGGCGATTTTCGCGATTGGACACGTTCCAGGTGGTCCCGCGGCGAACGTATTTTCTCGCGAGGAGATGTTGCCCTCTTCCCTTTTTCTCATTTTCTCCCCTCGGGAGTAAAGGCGAAAAGCGATGAACGAAGTGAAAATGGTTTAATATGCGGTAAAGCCGTCGTCGGGTTCATTGAAAGATAATGACTACGTCGCTTCTCGATTCAACACAAATGCGTATCACGAGACAAGTCGAAAAAGAGAGAAAAAAGAGAAATCGATTCATATAGGAAAAAAGAAGAAACGTTGAAAGCAAAATGCAAAAATGCAAACCCGTATAATGTAACTTTCAATCTCTTATACAATCCAGGAGATAATCTCACGTACTTTTACATACTTTTAATATCTAAAAAAATGCGTTAATTGATTTTGTTGAAATTGAATTTTTTGGTGAAATTTTTAATAAATGTAATTTTTAACACAGTGAAAAAAAAGAAAGAATATTTTTAAAAGAATACGTTCTATCAAATGCTTAGAAAATAATACACATACAAAATTATTACATAATTTACATACAATATATAATCACTATTCGTTATTATACAAATGTAAATGTGTACGACTAAAACTGTTATATTAATATGAAAATGATATATTGCGGTTTTTGTATTTTAATAAAACAATTTTTGTCAAATAAATGTGATTTGGGAAATCAATACTACAAAGGTAAAAATTAAGAAAAATATTTGTTTCGAAGAGATTGATCTTATTGTTAGTACATCATACAATACAAAATGTAATGAAAAATTGTTATATAAATAAATAAACATTAATAACATGTGTTCTAATTTGAAGTCTTTATCATGATAATTTGAAAGGAATTTCAAAAATCATCGTATCTCATTATTATTCTATATACTTTATTCAATAAAGCATTTTTTGCTAGCTTTATACTGTAATAGGATGATAGAACAGTAGATAGTGGGATGGTAGATTAATTGTAATTCAAATTCAATGGATTTCAATTTCAATGTGATGAATGCCGCGAAGGAAAAAGATGAAGAAAGTGGGAAAAAAAGAAAATTCTCTAAGAGACGATCAATCTTGTCACGTGGAGTCTCGCGAATGAAGTACAATTAGTCATATTTTAGAGAGTGTATCCATCAGAAGCTGAAGCTTCTGAAAGCGCTAATTCATCAAGTGTCACATTTCTCTTGTGAAAACCCGATATATTTCAAGTCGAGATAAAGGTATCAAATTCTTTTCGACAATATATATCGAATGCGTCAAACTCTACGAGGTATATTCCAGAGATCTACTTTTCCAAATTAAATAAGTAAAAATGTCACTGATTAAATCAGCAATATAACATTTCACTGAAGTTCAATGATTTTCAATGAAAACATTTACATTTTCTTCTGCCTTTTTAATAATGGCAGTAAGATTTCAATGAAAAATCAGTAATAATCGTATATACTTGCGAGCTTTTAAATTATTTTTTATTCATATTGGAGCTATTTTTGGGGAGAGGCGCTTCTGACACATATCTGAAATGAAACATATTCCAAAGAGAGTGAAATTGATTGTTAAAAATTGATAAAAGTAATTTTTTCTTTCTCTCGTTTCGCGATGAGGCATGCATTTTGCCGACTAATACACAGTTCAAATGGCCCTTTGCAGAATGTACATGCGAATATGCGGGATGTCTCGTCGGAATGTCTTTCATTATTTCCGTGTGCTGAATTCGCTTCTAAAGTTACATCTACATTTCATGAAATAGCTTGCATATATATATGTATATCTACAGGCGAAACACTACAAAGTTGCGACGCACTGACGGAAATGGAAACCGCTACAAAGGAATAAGCTGACTTAAATCGTTAACCGCTATAATAGAGTCTCGTACAATGAAACTTTATATACAATTGTATATTTGTATATGTATAAAACGGCAAAAGAGGGATCCCTTTAGTGCGAAAGAGAGTTGATTACAATACTAACGTCAGCAATATCGACTTATTAATTTAAGGAGAGAAACTCTAAACAAATTTTTTTACTTTTTAACGTTACTAAACTTTTTTTCTTTAAATTTATTAACATGACATTCTGTTCTCTCATTTTTCTTTAAATTTATTAACATGACATTCTATATCAGAGTACACACTGGTATTAGTAACACACTGGATTCTTCATAAAAAAACTAATTCTGCAGAAAAAAGAATGGAATCTGCACAGTATTTAATTTCGAGCGTGTCATCTTTTGAATATTCTTAAAAAGACTGCAACTAACAATACTCTGTAATATATTAGACAAGTTTTTACATTACATTAAATTGATCATCTAAGTAAACGTCTAGTGTGAGAGATGCAATATTGAAAATGCCACATATAAGAGGATTGGCTATACAACTCTTGTAAATTTCCCTTCCATCCCTTCTGTTAAATAGTTATCAAAAATAGAAGATATAAAAATAGAAAGTATAAAAGAGAAAAATCGAATAGAATTAAAAATAGATAGTTTGATGTCAGACTGAGACTGACATCAATATAGAATAGTTTTTTTATTTAAACTAAATTATATCCGTAAAATTATAAAATATAGACCCAGATTACGAACAGATGCTCGGCAAAATTAATTAATCAAGCTTGCTGAAAGCTAATAATTACGTAAATTGATCATCTGAATAGGATACTTTTAAATGCATTTTTCTCAGTTGATCGAATATTTTGGGAGAGAGAGGCAGGAATTATTTATTGTTTTTAATACTTAACCCGATTGTTTTTAATATTTAATATCTAATATTTAATTATATTTTAATATTTTATTAATTTTAATAGTTGCCAATTATATATTTTATTGATAATTAATTATATTTCATTTAGTTAACAGTTATATTTCATTATTTTGATTATAATAATAATACTATTTTAATATTTTAACTTTTATATTATTGTTAAAAATTTATTTTATTGTTAAAAATATAATACCTATTGAAAAAGTCGAATTTGTCGTAATGACTTTATTTCTCCACATTTTGTTTCATCAATAGTATAGATTAGCGCGGTTAAACGATACGGAAACGCAGCCCAGATAAAGTAAAGGCTCACCTGATTCGGTCGTTGCGATAATTCAACGAGCCGGCTGACACCAGGGCATTATTGCCGATAAGCCTCGCGCGATCGTCCGTATCCACCTGAGTAGCGATGTATCCCTCCTGCAGATACTCGGATTCCGTTGGCGCGTAAACGCGCCGATACCGATGAGGGTGAGGATGATGATGATGGTGATGATGATGATGCAAGTGATGACGGTAACCGTCGTAGGGCGTTCTCGCGGCCGCTTCGTAGGCGTAGGGCACCGCGTCCGTCACGAGGGTCATCATTTCACGAAGTTTCGTCGAGAAGAAACGGACTCGTCACTCTAATCGATCGCCCGAAGCGAAAACGCACCGATCGTCCACGCGTTCGATCTCGCGCGACCTCATCACGAGCGAAATTGTATTCTGCGGCGATTTAATTGAATTTCCCCCTCGAGTGGCGTACGTGCATAATCACTCGCATCATCAGATTCCCCATCAAACGATTATGTATTCGTCAAATATTAATATTCAGAAGATAGATCCTTTGAAATTATGCAGCAGCGGTTGCAATAGATGAAGAAATCGACCAAGGGTGAAACTGACTGACGCTAAAGATACTCGTAAAATTGCGAAAACGCTCTTTTCTCTATCCCATTTAACTGTCGCTTCTTTTCCGGGAAAGATATGAGTCGCTGGTCCCAGCGAGGACACGGACGTTTCTCGATATATATTCGGTACAGTTAACTCTTCTTCCTTCAACTTTCTCGTTAACTTTGTCCAAGTCGTTCCAGATCGATTTCGTCCCGAGACGCGGAATTTCCGCCCCGATTCTCTAGAACCGCTGGACAGATTCCTCCCTCGTCGCTCGTTATTTAAGTTTAGTCAATTCACTCTATCGTTGCCCGGTTTTCCGCGAATTCTTCGTATATCGGATGACCGAGTCCACAGTTTGAGCAATCTCAATCATGAAGATAGAAGATTCGATTTTTCGAAAGCTGAATCGAGAGATTTCGGAGCACGAGATGCTTCACGTCAATGGACTCGACGGTCGCGCATTTGAACGCACTTTTATTCCGAAGACAGAGATTGCGGAAACGACGAGAAAATAAAGAGATAAATCCCGCACTCAACTTGTATAAGAGACTCCAAATCGGCGCTCCAGCGAAACCCGATGGGAGGAAGGAGGTCGATCTTTAACCGGCAGCGCGACTTCCTTCCTTACGAATCCGACGTGACTAAACCGAGCCGGTCGTCGGACCAGACGCGACAGATCCGAAAATCTCGTAGCCGGAGATCACGGAGCGAAGATGCCTTGCCGTGTAGTATCGGTCCCTCCGCCACATGGTATCTCTTCTTAGGCGTGCGTCACGCACACGCACTCGCGTCTCGCCGAAAGAGAGACGCGAGTAGAAATATTTTACATGCGTTTACATGTGTGTATCGCCGACAGTCACACCCCGAGATGACTATTTTTAAGAACGTCCGGCCAATCGCGACCGACGAAAATTGTCTTCGGGTCCGCCTCTCGGACTGTCATAGATGCGTGAGTTTGGCAGGGACTCATCACGGGGTGTGGTTTAATCATTAATAAGAGTTAGATTCTCATCGGATAGAGTCTCCGGCTGGGGCGAGAGAACTTTCGGGGAGTTTAAATCAACACCGGTGCGAAAGCATAATAAACCAAACCAAGTACCTAATCAACTAAAGACTGTTATCGAGATGACTGATTGAGATTTCTCCGGCTCTTCCTTCCAGAGAAAGACGGAAAATCCACTTATCACATACTAATTACTGTTTTTATTTGGTAGCGATATCTGCGAAATTATTAATAAATAAACATGTATAATTTTTTCAAACTATCCTAGATTATCGTTCTCTGACAGGGAGAGAACCAGATGTACTATTTGCAAAAAAGAAAATATAAAAATCAACAAAACTAATCGATATGTCAATTTCTTTATCAGTTTATCGTTTGACCCATTTAACGTTCGATGATTAAAAAAAAGCATTCTATAGCTATAGATTTTTTCTCTCACGAAAAATTGTTAAAACGTAATTAAACTCCTGAGATTGCACTTTTCTTTAGGAGAATCTTGAAATTTCCAAAAGATTATCAAAGGAAGAGTTCAATTAAAAAAATTTTTTCGTCTAAGAGAGATTTTTTTTATATTTCCGATAAATTATCTTACATAAGTTTTTCGTCTAATCATTAACTCCGAGAATCGATTTGATCATAGTCTTTGATTGAATTGCGTCGATTATATTTTATTCAACTATCGTGTATTTCTGCGGCTCGCCGCAGCAGTTTTGGTTATTCGGGAATACTTAACTGAAATGTACTGGTTTACAGTCGAACACGCTAACAAAAAGAGATGTTCATTACGGTGGGTCGTGGTTTTTGACAGATATTCCAATACGCGTTCGATAGTCGATCCGATTTGCGGTCTGATTGGAGAGAACAGGAGCTATTACTCCTCTATACATATAGGGTGTTTCACGTATGCACAGTTCAACTTTAGGAGCACAGGATGCTCCAAAATCATATCCTTTCAGTAGCAGATTTTTTCCTCGATATATCGAGAAAAATCATCATTTGTTGCAAAGTTTCCAATCCTTTCCATCCATATAGCTTTATATAATTAAGTCCGAAATTAAAATTCTATTAAAATAAACTCAAGTTGTAATAATGGGGAAAGTTTTCTCCTCCCCAAAATTTACTTTGCGAAAGACCGCTCATTTCCTCCACCCTCGTTTGTAACTCGAAAATCATTGATGTGATCTTTTCGACATTTTCGCGCAGGAAAAATCCCGAATTAGAGCCGAGGAATCTGCCATCGAACACACAATGATTTTTGAAACATCTTATATATATATATATATATATATATATATATATATATAGAGAGAGAGAGAGAGAGAGAGAGAGAGAGAGAGAGAGAGGCAGAGACACGCCTATAGAGAGATCGCTACTGGTCCTCGCCGTCGATTACGCGGATACGTAAACTTTATGTAAATCCAGCGCCGTCTGTCACATTTTATGCTCCGCTTTCACGGGAATTAAAATAGACTATTGAGCGTCGAATAAAAGCTAAAATTACCCCCTGGCAGCGATCCAGACGTATGGAGATAGAAAACGGAGTAAAGTTTTAGCCTACACGTTTTCGCCGAAATGCCGATCGCCCTGTAGTAATAATCCGCTCTCGCACTCCGCGAGATTACGCGGAAATAGGGGTGGTGTTCTCCGTTGAGGGTGGATCATCTCGGTTCTCTCGCGGCGGAGCAACACGATCGAACGTCTAATCAGTCGTGAGTCTCGAGTTCACGTTGAGAATCCCGGACATCATCGCAATTATGACAATTATAGCAAAGGAAGCAGTTGTCGATAAACGCGATGTCCTAGAAATTCAAAGTCTTTTTAATCGAGTATAATGAAGAAAGAGGTGAGAAAAAACAAATCTGTGATAACGATACATGTGTATTTCACGATATATCATTGCCAATATCGCTACTAGAGAATTAACATTAATAATCTTGTTTTTGTAGCAAAATAATAATGATTGAATCGCGAGACCTTATTTGTCCAAAATTATCCAATAATTGATGAACTATGCTAATTCAATGATTAATATAGTTCGATATGATATATTAATATATTAATATATTATATCGAAAATGACTATTGATTAATACACTATATATTGGGAAATTTCTGGTCCATTTCTCTCGCGATTGATCTATACATATAATATCTTGCACAATATAATATTTCGTTTTCTATCTGCATACATATAGCTTTATTTCAAGAATTTCTCCTCCTTTCAATTGTTCGTACAGAATCAGAGTATATATCGATCAATTTTACGGTTATAAAATTCCATCGAAAGGCGTTAAACTAAGCAAGATTAAATACGGAAAAGTTGGCGATATACATTCTCCATGAAAATCTCTCGCGTTTGAAAACTATACAAAGGCACGTCAAAGTGCACACCGATATATAATGGAGATTGTCTCTCTAAAGAAAACTAACACAGCCCGACACGAAATAGCCCGCACACATTCGCGCACGCGACATGGATTTCTATTAAAATCCCATCCGCGCGATTCCGCAGTCCCGGTACCTGTCAGAAGAGACAAGGCCAATTATCGTTAAAAGCGGTTATTATCGGACGACGTTAGAGAAATCCGCGAGATGAGAGTGCCGGTTCCATCCCTCTCTTTTCGCTTCCGATCTCTTCCTCCGAGCCCCGCCGCCCTCCGCCTTCTCGCCATCCATCTCACCATCCTTTCGAACGACGTCGTATACATACATCTAGGGAATAAAGACGCGCCCTTCGCGCAATCTCCCTCTTCCACCCTCCCGCAAACAACCGCGCGAAAAGTCCGGAGGCTCCGGACTTCATTTTTCATTCGCCGTCCAGTGGTACAAACCCGGAGACTTACATGAGAGAGTTTGCATTCCATACTGTACACACACACACACATACACACATATACGCAGCCGCTGACACGCGAGCGAGCGCGCGCGCGCGCGCGCATTCGCAAACACGAAGGGTAGTTCTCCCTTTCGCACCCTTTCATCGTGGAAGCTCGGCGCGGCTCGGATGTGCTCGTCTCGCGCCGGGGTCGAGAGAAGGAGGAAAAGGAGTAGGATGTGCAGGGGAAGGGAGCGGGAGGATCGCGGGATCGCAAAGAGTACAACCCTGAGGAGCGAGACGCAAAACGGGTCACTCTCGCCTCCTTTCAGGATTCGGCGGCTGGCTGGAATACCTACATCTGCCAAAGTTCACGGGAGGGCAATGCCTCGCCCACTTTTACGGGGGCATCATCGCGGAGCGATGTCTTTGTGCCGAGCGGTTCGCCTTTTTGCTCGCGCGGATTTTTGTTTTTCGAACCAATTTTCCGGCATCCTTGAAAGCACGCGAGAGCGTGGTAGGGTAAGTGAAAAATGTCAATAAATTTTTATTAGCGAGTGAAAAGTTAGCAGGAGAAGGAGGAAGATTTAAAAGTCTCGGAATTCCACCTCGCAAAGAGCATAATTTTTTCTTGTGTCACGTGCAGTCAAAATGCGATCGCATACGTAAAAATTTGAAAATAAAATCAAACTCGTCGAGCTACTTCTTCAAACATTTAAACAATTCTCCCATCGATTATACGTTTGTTCAATATATCTGAGAAATATCGCTATTATAATTTGTCATAATACTATTTAAAAATTATCAAATAGTAATTCCTGTCTCAAGACCTTGTTTCACAATAATCAATTACTTTCAACGGATAATCATTCTTCTTTTCTTTCTAATTAAAATTCTGAATGTTTCCCGGGAAAGCCTGGAGGAAGATACATGTGTAATAAAAAAAATATAAGGGATGAAGGGGGGGCTGTTAACAGCCTCGCCTTGGCAAGGAGACGTCCTTTCGCGCCGCCGCGGCGCGTAGTTTCCGATGTAATCCGATGTGACTTGGAGCCGTCTTGAATTCTCTTCGACGTATATCGCGGCCGAAGACTAGATGCCTCGGATGATTCCGAGCGTTGGCCAAAGCCTCGAGGACGTTGCGGCGCGACGTCGCGCAGGCCTCTCCCCGAGCTTTCCCTTCCCTTCAACCCTTGCCCCTGCCCTCCTCTTCCTTCCCCGCATCAGGATAATCTTGTTGTAATCACGCAAGCGCCCGCCTCCCGTCGATCAAGATAACTGGCGACTATCACTGAATAATTGTCTTTAAACAAGATAATGCCTTTAACAGGATTGGCGAAAACTCTCGTAAGATTGAAATAAAATAAACGGATGAGAGAGAGATGAAAGTCATGTTTTTGAAAGTCATCGAGATCGACAAATAAAATTTACATTCGATGTAATTAAATTTTTTTTTTTGAAAGTTAATTTTCGTACGCATATCGTAGATATTAAAATGTAATTAAAATTTCATATTATTTGATACATCTTAAAAAGTGGTTTCTCTCACATTTTATTTCCAGGAAATACATCACGTCTCTCAAATTGTACGATTAAAAAAATGTATTCCAGGATTATGGACTAATCTAATTTGCATTTTCCAAGGTTTCTCATATTTATGGAGAACGGAATTCTGTTTTGAAGATAGCTTTAAATTCTCTACAATTAATCTCGTTATGATTATGCAAAGTCTCGCTTTCATCGGATTTCAACGTTGATTCGAGAATAGTTGTATGCATGCTTTGTAAATCGTGCAAGATTTTTTTTATACGCGAAACTTATTGATCTGATGTAATACACGATAATTTTTGATTATTCTTCAGCAAAGTAAATTGCAAAATTGCAACGATTTCCATAACGATTACGAGATATATAACAGTGAATTAATATAATTTTGTATAAAAAATTTCTGAAACATCGTCATTATTAAATATATGCAAAAATATTATTAGTGTAGAATTTTATAAAAATAATCCATATATCATAAATATATATTGAGGTAATAAAGTATTCAATTCTCTTACAACGAATGTCAACGGGAGGAAGATTCTCAACTCACGTCCAAAAGATTTCCGGTATTCTCGACAAAGTAATTCCTACATTCGTTTAAAATTTCTTTAGCATGAGGACATTAGGATATATAGCGTATTATGCGATAAGACTCTCGCTTAAAGTTCCGTTTAATTAGGTTTCAGATCCCCATACGGACCTTAACGCCTGGATAATCTTCTCCTGTCTTTCCCTCTCTATCTTCTACTAAAACGAGCTTAATCTATCACGCATACGCGCGTGTTATATATATTTAGACATCCCTCCTCACTTTTAAGAAGAATTAAATATATCCACTTTTAACTTCTAGTTTTTATATCTCTCGATATTTTTCTCTTTTTAATGAGATCTCTCATGGTTATATTTTTGCCTCATAAAAATTCTTATTATAATGTGAAAGATATATTTCCTAATCTATACCTCATATGATTATTTTCGCATAATACTTTTTATTTGTATGAATATTTAACTGTACACGTAAAAGGTTTTTAATTTATAAAACTAGATATTTTTTTCAAACACAATCTCGTGAGAAAGAGGTACAGGATTTTTTACTAAGATAAACTTTTTCGAAAATAATTAATCGTATCTTTTAAATAAAAAAATATTTTCTCAAAAAACTCTTATGCATATATCTAATTCTAATTTTTCACATACAATTTATTCTAAATTTTAATTTATCAATCACTAGTCTTTATTTAAATCTTGCATGTGCAATTATCGTTTAAAATATTTATTATTTAAAATATTTATTATTAAAAAAATTTATTATTTAAAATATTTATTATTTAAAATATTTATTATTTAAAAAATTTATTATTTAAAATATTTATTATTTAAAATATTTATTATTTAAAAAAATATATATTTTTTTAAATAATAAATTTCTCATTTTCGTATTTTACAATATACGTATCGCACTTTGTGCCAGATTTATTGAGTAACGTACCGCCATTATTTTATACATGTATTTCTTTTTTCGCGTAACATCAAATTGTTATACTCTCCTTTTTCCCTCAATTTCTACTGTATAATATTAGAAAGCTTATTGAATAAAATTTTTCGTAAAAAGATCCATCACTTATGCCGGCAAGAATTATTTGCGTATATTTTTCCCTTGAATTTCTTCGCCGGGCGTCATATGGTTCACGACGATGTGGATAGATCGGTATCGGAAGATCCCTCACGCAGAATAACACGTTATATAATTTACGAGCAACGAGAGAATCGCTTTTCTTCGGCGAGCTATCCGAGATTATGGCAGACCGCGACAATCCGTCCTCGTCTCGTTCGCGAGGAGACTGCGCTACTTACCCGAAAGAAGGACTTTTATCGTCGCTTGTACTTAAACGCGGACATCGATGTAACGGTAGAGCGTGTGTCGCTAAACGTGCCCGCGGCATTCCATTAGGCTTTACAACCCTCGGGCAGTAAAACGCCGAGAAAACGCCGGTTCGTGTCGCTTGAGAAAGAGACGAGACAGCTGACGCGTCTCGTCGGGGCGTGTCACCGGCTCTCCCTTCACCGAGTCCCCGAAGTGCATCCGGAGAGAACATCCGTTTAATCCTACCGGAGATATCGAGATATCGTCCCTCGAGAGACGGGGAAGATTCCCCCCTCCCTCTCCCCCCTTCCCCTCTTCGTACGTATCTCGATGCCCGCACGAAAACGTAGAAGGGAAGACCGGGCAAAGTTCATGTTCCAGGACTAACATCGTTTAACAACGACAGATTACAAATTCTCCATCGAGAAACTCGATATCGCTCGATTCTCGTTTACATCTCGCCACTTTATCCTTCATCCGCGTTGAAATTCAAAATATACCGTGTACCTCCCTGAATCGAACCTGGTCGTTTGATTACCAGAAGAATGACAAATTCGAAATGGCGAATTTAGCTTTTAATTTACCCGGCTTATAACTAATTGAACTTTCACTTCGTCGAAAAGCCGGGATTTTAATCAATCTCGGGGGCAAATAGGTTGCTCAAACACGCAAAATTTAATTCGCAGGAGGGGAGGTCGTTAAGTATTCTCTGGAACGCGAAAGATTGAACAAAAATTCACGATTCGCAATTACACCGAAAGATACGACGTTCGTCGAAGAAGCGTGTCGCATTTAGTTTCATCGCTACGCAATACCGTGTAATCTGACATGTTTGCGGGCCCGCAAATTCTGCTCCAGAATTACTGTCCGCGGATTTCAACCCCGTCAGCATGACGAGGAGAGACGCGTATCAACATACTCGGCTGTATCGAGGTATATAGGTAAAATTTGCCCGTCCGACAAGATCGAGATGATAAGGGTAGAAAGACGGAGATCAAAAGCGAAGTGAAGCCGACGGAGGCGAAACGTGGAGGAGCGAGAACGGGAAGAAAGACAGCTGGGGGCGGGGGGGGTGCGGGAGGGAGGGAGGGAGAGAAAGACTTTCGTCGGTTCGCTCGTGATAGAAAGAACCGGAGAGGGGTTGGAGGACGTAGGAAGCGGGGGATGAGAGGGAGAAAGAAAGGAAGAGAGAGAGAAGAATGGAGCCGGGGGGGATGGGACGGCGAAACGGCGCTGAGGGTGGAAAGACGGAGACCGACACGGACGGATGGCGCGCGGGGAGCGGAGGGCAGCGGCGGAAACGGCAGGGGTGGAACGCGGGCGGGAGGAGAGGGGGAGCCCGCCGGAGGGTGGAGAGGATCGGTCGGGTCGTGTGTTGCGGGCTGCTGCGGCTCGGGCGCGACAGTTCTGCTCCGGCCACCGGCGGTGGATTTTCGCGGGAGCCGCGCGGCGTAGAGCTCCTCCGCGAGAGGACCAACCCCCGAGAGAGGGTAGGAGGGCGGGAGGGGAAGAGGCTCTCTCGATCCGCGCGCCCGTAACCTTCCCGAGCGCGTCGCGGCCTCGGTTGTCCTCGTTGCGACCAGCGAGCGGCCACGGAAACGTGTTTCCGCGCGCGAAGAGAGACGGCGGCAACGGCGGCGGCGGCGGCGACGGTGGTGGTGGTGGTGGTGCTGGTGGACGGCGCCGAAGGACGAGGGATAGCGGCGAAGGGAGGGAAAGAGGGGCAAGGCCGGAACGCGGCTCGAAACGACCGAGACCACCGGACCGGGGGATCAATCGGCGATGGCATGAGGAAACGCCTCGAGGCGCGCACGACCGCTGCTATTGTTTCATCATTAACGAGGCCGAAACGGTCGCGTTAGCATCGAGGAACGCGAGCGCGATGAGCGCCCGATTCGAACGTTCACCGTCGTCTCTCGTCTCCTCCTCGGGATCCGATTTATCCTCGCCGCCGCGCGGGACACGCGGACAAGACAAGACGCTTAAACGCGCGTCTTAAACGTATGTTACACGAACAAGGGGATTCTACGGAGAGCTTTCTAAAGAAAAGAATAATAAAGCGCGTACGCGCGAAATGTATAAAAAGAAAAGTACGCGCGACAAATGCTAGTCGAAAAGAGACTGAACATTGTTGACGAAATTTATTGTTCCAAGATAGATAAGTAAGAGGAGATCTAGCGAGCTCGCCAAGACTTTGCGAGACGATTATTGGAGCGGAGGAAGAATAGCGCGGCGGCAAATTACCAAGTGAACATTCTGCCTGGAATCTCGCGAATTCGCGCTCTCGTCAAAGTTAGAGCGGTAGAGTTTGTCGGTAGAGGGGCGGATTCGCCCTCCCCCCCCCCATAGAGGGGGAGAAAAAGCGCGCCAGGGGTCACCGACGGTAAATGGGACACCGCGGATCGACGCGATCCTAGTTTCGGGTACTGCGCGTCCCTTAACCTTTGCGGCTGCTGAACACGCGCGTCGAACATCCAGGTCGGGAGGTTCATCCCTTGAAAGAGATCGGGGGAGGAAAGGAGGTCGAAGTCGTTCCAGCTTCGTCGTGTCGACCTCGTAATCGTCAACGTTATTTCGCCCTGGCCCACGTAAAACACTAATAAGCGGTGCTATCCAACGTAATGGGTGATAATCGTACACGGTGAACTCTTCCATCCCTATCGTTAATCTCGGAGCAGCGGAAAGGGGATCAAGCGCGATTAAGCTAAACGCACCGCGTTCAGCACCGTCCGACACCTAACGCTGGGGTAATAATTCGGGGCAGCCGATTGTTGTCTCCCAAGAGTACAGCAAAAATATTAATGCGTTCGATAACTCACGAAAAAGATGCGTACGCGCACGCATGTACATACGGGTACACACAGACACGCACACAAACGCGGAACAACGCGCGGATCTCTATACTAGATGTATATACATGTTGCAAGTTTATTTAAATGCATCATAGATGTATATATAAATATTATATATGTGTGTTGAACCTTCATAGGTCTAAATCACAACGTTGAAGCGTTTACATAGTATATCACGTTACGCGATTCTCGATAATTCAGCAATTCGAGACTACACGAGAGGAGAGAAAAAGAGAGAGAGAGAGAGAAAGAAATATACGTTTTAAGGGAACAGCATTCGCGAAAGAAGTTCTTAAAAATTGTACAACTGAAAGGAGAGAAGAAACGAAGGGGAGAAAAGTTATTTACGGTTACAAAGCAGTGAGAGTGAAAGAGACAAAAATAAAGTACCGTGCGACTCGATCGGTCGTCTCTGTCAACTAGTCGGGAATTCGTACCAATCTATCTATCGATCGGACGATCGAAGAAACTGCCACGAAACATTTGCCAATTACATTAACAAAAAAATAAAAAAGAGAGAGAGAGAGAGAGAAAGAGGAGGAAAGGAGAAGAAAAAAATTTACAAGATTCTCTCGATCATTGTCAATGCGCGCGAAATACTCGCGCGAGTCCCACGGTGCTCAATTAGGCGTAATAAGTACAAAAGACACGCGGGCCTGCAGAATTATTTTTTTTCGACCGAGGTGTGTGTGTCATCCCTGTCAACATTAGTGAATAAGCGCATCGAATCTGTCCAAATCCCCCATTGTATAGGCGAGGAGCCCCAATCCTAAAGACGATCCTATATAAATCTACCTCAACGAACTATCGGCACGCGAAATCTCAAGTCCCACTTTCGAGCATAACTTTCTTGGACAAGAAATAATCGGCGAACAATCACCCTTGCGAAATCACTCGTCCAACTGAAAGTTGTAGAAACTTAAAAATCCTCCCTCCTCCTTCTTGCTACTTTTCGCATTCTATCTCTCTTTTCTACGCGTGAATCGCGTAAATCGCATAAATCGCAGCTTCGTTGTCGGTTACTCGGTAATTTTCGCTCGTCGTTCGTATTATTTCTTTTTCTCGGAGAGAGAAAGACATGAGGGAAGAAACGCCGGATAAATTCCTAAGATGATCGATATTACAAGCGTTCCCCCGCGTTCGGAATCGTTCCTTTGATCATCGATAGAGTTCGATAGAATTGGCGCGATAAAGACAATCGTAACACGCGGTATATATATCAAGGTATCTGATCCGGATCGATTGGATGCGAACGATCGGGCTGTCAAGTCGGCGCACGTTGCACCGTCATCGCGCAAAGCAAGGTGGTGATATGCTCCATCTCACGCGGGTGCGCGTACGGGATAATGCTGGCGGTGAGAGATGAGATGATAGACCGCCAGGAAGAGAAAGAGAGAAGAAACAGCTGCACCGCGGGTCGGAGAAGAGAAGCCACCGCGCCAAGAAAGACGCACAGCCATGTCATGGGAGTCTATCTCGTCCAGGGATTACCTCGGGTAAGTTCGGTATTGTTCATCTTGAAATGTAACACGAAATTTAGATTAAGAAAATATATAAGTATTAAGTAAGATAATTAATTTAATTATAATAATTAATTTTAATAATTTTTAATCATTTTAATTTTAATAATTAATTTACCGTAAGCTGTAATAAATGTGAATTAAAAATTAATTGATACGAGGCTACATACATCAATACCATAGTTTAAAAAATTATTATTATAGTATTTATATGATTATAATATAGTATTTATATGATTTTTATTGATTGCTACTTATTGACTGACTTATTGTTACTTGATTATTATATGTAAATAAGCAATAATTCTTTTATCAAAAAAATATGACTGTATATTATATATACTTAGAATGACTTTGCACCAATGCATTACTGGACATGTTTGCTTGAAACATTAAAAGAGTTACCATATTTTTCCGGAAGAAATAGAGAATAAATTGTTGGCTTTCCACGCATACATTTACATATCTAGAACAAAAATAAGAAAAATAGGAAAATGCTAAAAGCTCTCCGAGTTATAATCCATTGAAGTCGAGTGTTTCTGTTTTTTTTCCAGTTTTAAGTAATTTTTCATACGAGAAATTAAAACGCGATATTATATAAACACAAATTTATTATTACATATTTTAATATAATAGTATACCTTAAATATTCTAAATTTACAGCTTAATTTTGTAAACACAATATCGATATAAAAAAGTACACGAGGAAAATATTTTTTAATAAGTAAAAAATTATTATTAGCATTAAAGTTTAACAAAACAGATCACTCTAATGAATGTAACAAAAAAGTAATTGAGAAAACCATTTGTTCTATCTGTTTTTGAAATATCATATTTGATATTTCGAGAAATCGCTAAAAAAATAAAGCATATTAATTATTTAAAGTTAATTATTTATAGCATCATAATATATGTATATCAAAAGGTAATAATACCCTATATTTCGATAATGATCGCAACAAGTATAATAATATTATAATTACGAGCTATCACGAATAGATAGGTCACAATGGACGATAATTGCCGTGCAGCTCTCATATGAATATAATTACGCAAACGTAAAATCAAACCCTAACTTGAACTCCATTTTTTTCGTAAAAAACACAAATTTGACAAATGAATTATAATTCAGGCTCTATTCTAGCATTTCATCAAACAAAAGTTCGATCGCTCGAATTGTAATTTATTGTAATATTGTGAATATCCGATTAATTTAGACGTTATAAATAGTGCGCCTACAAAAATTAATTCCGCGACATGTAATCGAGACTGAGAATAATTCCATTTCATTATTACGATCATAAAATCCAAGATTACATATAACTATACATGTTTCGACATATATAATTATTCATGTTTATCCCCTGAATTTTTCGATTATTACATTAAGCAAGGATGCTTAAGGAAAAGGGAAGACGATAAGGGGATAGGTTGGCAGAGCAGATATGCCGTGTATTTCGTTGATCGACCTCGACGCGCGAAAGAGCCAGGGGATGCTTCGATTTTCCACTTAGAATCGCAACGCCGTACCGTATCTCGTAGCTCGTAAATGGGTCAGCAAAAGAGGTCGCAGGTGCCTCGCCCACCTAGCGAACGTGGTGGGAAAGCGATAGAGTGTCGTATACTCTTCGCTTTACACAATACGCAGACTTGTATACGTACACGGAGGAAGAGAGAGGAGGCACAAGCGCGTGTGCGCGCGCGCAGGCACGCGACTGTTTTGGGGAAAACTTTAACGAGGATGGGGAGTGTGTAATTTGCGATGAGGCGCGATTCGCCCCCGTGGGGCTTCCATCAAGCGTCAGGCACGAGATAGTTTTCTTTCGCAATCGGTTACTTTAATTAATCCTAGTCTCGAACGTGATTAATTCTTTCAACGCTCACCTCTCGGCAGGGGAGAGTAAATTATTTTTTTTTCATGGATTCCTCGACGCGCTAAAATGTTTTAGTTTAATTTGTCAAACAAATTATTAACCACATAGTATAATGATACGCTCATTTATAAGAGAGGTTGTCTCTTTGGAATAAATTTGAGGAACGGACGAAGCATAATAACGTTGATTAATGTTCTCGTTGAAACAATGCTATCTAAAACAATGTGAAAAAAATAATTTGCTCGGTATTCCAGTTTACAAAAGAGGACCGAGACATAGTTGGTGAGAGGACGAGTCGGTCTCTCGTAGTTGAGAGTTTTGCGGTATCTAGGTGCAGAATCGAAAAAAAAGGAATACGTAGAGTAAATTTCAGTTTTCTCGGAAATAGAGCAACGGTCGCACTGCGGTAGGAGAAGAGTAGATAGGTAAGAATTCATGATTCTACACAAGGTGTCCCAGACATACGTATCATCTTTTAATGAAAAACGCTGTAATAGATTTTTTTAATATAAAAGTAATAAAAAATAATTTTTGTAATAAACAGTGCGAAAAATGGTTGACCTTTTAAGGAATTCCATTGTAATTGCATAAATAGGTAATAAAAATTTCATTGTTATTTAATTTTTTGTAAACGCATTTTTGACGACATTTTCCAAAGCTCGATAAACATATCAAATTATACTTAATAAGAGAGTTTTGCCTTAAAACACAATGTGTTCATAAAATTTTCATCACACAAGAGATTAACAAAATTGATTTAAATATACATAAGCGAGAATTGCTGCGGTAAAATGGTAGGTATGGGATACCCTGTATATATCTTGTAACTTCCATAATGCGCAGTTTGCAAACTCAACCTCCGGGATGGCAGCCAAAAGCGGTTTATCTCGGCGTTCTCCTTCCGTTCGTCCTAGAAATAAATTAAGAATTTGTATATATATATACATATGTGTGTGTGTGTGTGTGTGTGTGTATGTGGAACCTGCAGGAGGTCAGTTGCCCGTATCCATCATCTAACAGAGACGTTTGACGTGAGTTTGCAAGATATTGACCAGAAAGGGGATGATTTTCATCTAAAATTATGATTTAATCATTTTGCCAAATAGAATAGAAAATACCAAATGTTAGTAATCTTGGAAAAAATATTCGATAATACCGCTTTAAAGATTATATTCTAATTATATTATTTGTTAACGTCCTTTAGCTTGAATTGCTAAAAAATAATATTTCAAAATAATATTTCTTAAATATACAGTATATGCAATATTAATTCATAAAATTAAGAAATGAACGAATAACCACTTTGCATTTTTTATGAGAAATTTCCAAGAAACGTATATATTAAAGGAAGCGTAGCATTTCATAGCACGTACATTTCAAATGTATCACGTTTCCCTTTTATCACAAGATAATATTAAAGTTATCTTTTATACTTGTAATTTTACATAGCATACTAATTTACTTTATGCTTGTATCGTACTCTCGCGAGTATCGAAAAGAGATTACCGTTCCACTTTGTTATATACCACAGGTATAAATCACACTCAGGCGAGAGAACCATTTTGGAATTTCTATAGAACTTAAGCGATCAATGTTGTGAAAATATCGAATCGCGCTCGGTTACGTCTTCTTTAAATTCCTCTCATCGGATTTCACTGCAGGCATGAAATTCCGCGAATGTTCGAATCAAGTACTTCTTAAACAGGCAGCGGTAATAATCATCGTTCCATATTCAAGCATGAAGTTAAAACAATTGCCTAGACATTTGTATATGATGTAAAACACAATAATTTCTTCTTATACTATTAAAATCGTGCCAAAGATTGTCAATCGGAATAATTTTGATACCATTGGATATAAATTGCGAGTATATTTTTTAATAATATAAATTAATATTAAATATTTGTTATATTTTACTAATATTTGTGAAACAAATAGTTAATACTTTTAAAAGAATTTTAAACGATAATCAGCTGTACAATTGTACAGCTGATTTTCTGAAAATTCTTTTAAAAGTATTAACTATTTGTTTCACAAATATTTCACAAAAGAAAATCAGCTGTACAATTGTATGAAATTTATTTTTGTGAAACTCGAATCAGACATGATCAAATGATTAGAGTGTCCAGTAATTTAATTGTACGATTTAGCTCACGTAAATGATTAGTATACTTTATATCAATATATATACATTTAATGGTGTAGATTATGTCGAATGTTTGCAGCGGATCGGCGAGTCATCAGCTCTCGGCGACCGCGCTGCTGGGTAGCCCTGATGGATCGAGACATCCACTCGACGTCTGCGAATTCACCGAAGAGGATTACCGGCACCAAAATGGTAATGGTAGTAATGGCCATTACCAAAACAGTAGATCGGGCGCTGGTATATGGGAATGTCTCATAGGTTGCAGGAGACGGCTTGATCAACAATTAGCCCGAAGAAGGGTAAGTCCCACAACATACATATACCCGCTCTTCCTAAGCCTCTTGGGCGAAATTGAAATGAGTTTGAATTTAGCAAAGATAACACGTTCGATACTCAAGAATCTTATTATAAAATTACAAAAAAAAATTCCAAACACATAATTTTGTTGAATAGATATTTATATATTTTTATATTTTTATTGATAAAATAATATATTTTAGCTTAATTATTACATTTAATATAATTAATGTAATTAATCGATATAATATTTACGTCGTAAACATTATATGAAATTTAGAAAAATATGTAAAACTAAAACGAAAAATATGAAAATATATAAATATCTACTCAACAAAATTATGCGTTCGGAATTTTTTTTGTCAATTTATTAGGATGCGACTGATAAAATAAAGTATTACAGAGAGGAGACAGATATAATGTCCCAATAACTTATTACGTTCTAAGAGATTTTACTGCACGTTTCTCATTTCTATTCAGATATTAATTTATTAATAAAGTTCTTACTCTTCGAAATGCACGTGCCAAATGTTATCTCGTAATCGCGATCATAATTTTAGACAAACACTGTGCTTAGAAGCGAAATTGGCTGCGCGCCACAATAACACTCTTACCAAGTAATATATATTAATGGTCCTGCAAATTAATTTAATCAACCAATTTTTTAAATCGGGCGCCGGACGTCGAACCGGTTTAACATTCTCAAAGAGAAGCGTTAATATGTCAAAGCGAGCAACGATATCTGATGGTTCTCGAGCAACGACGATAAGGCATGAGGGCTGCATAACGAAGCATACGTGTATTTCGCGGACGAGCAGCACGCTTTATCGGTCACTGTCAAGTTCACGATGTGCATGCCACGATGGCAGCTACGGTCACGCTATCCTCTAAAACGTACTGTACCTAGGTGTTTACCGTTTCGGAAGCGAAACTTATGATTTTGCATTACGCACCCGACAGTTTATCCACGACATCCTCTTCAAACGGCGACAGACATAATTTGTATTGCGTCTTCGGAGCGACACCATAACTCAATCGAGTTTCGATTTTGGCGAGATGATTTCGAGAGACAGAAAGCTTGTTGGATTCGCAGAAAAATCGTCAGAATAAATCTTCTCTTTTTTTAGCCTTTTACACAAAATATGACTGCGAGGAAGATCAATATTGCCGTATTTACTTACTTTTCAGTTATTGAAAAAAATTGCTGGTTCTTATTGTAATGAACTGTAGACGTCTCGACGAAAGATTAATCACATGTCTCGAGGCTAAGTTCTATTTTCTCTCGTATTATATTAATGATTATAGTCTGAGGTTTATTTACACGCAATCTCGCATGCAACGTTCGGTTTTCGTTGACATAAGACTATTAATAGCATTGCTCTAAAGCAAATGACATTTCTTAATGTTCCTGACAACATCACCTTTTGTTATAATTTTGTTATAATTAATATAATATAAACGATAATATTACCAAACATCTCTCTCTCTTCCCCGCTCTATTAAAATTTTAATACAGATAGAAATTATCTCGCACACATATACCTGGATACATTTTCATGCCTTAAAATGTTATTTATATTTTATCATAAAATTTAATCTGCTACACACAAACACACACATATATACAATAGGGACAAAGTTCATGGTCAAATCGATATGACCTTCTACCTCTGCATCATATTATCTACGCCAAGGTTTAATGCTGCGTGATAAAGACAACATCAACATCGTAACCTCTTCCTTTTAAAATCATCTGTCATCTAACGTCTGTTTGACAAGATATATAATCAAACTGTTACGTTGACACAAATTTATTCAGCACACACAAATAACAATTTTAAGTAAATCAAGTTTAAAATGCAAAGTTATATTTGTATGTTACTGCAATTTAACTGTATAATTTGATGAATTTCAATTTTGCGAGTTATTATGCATCGTCATCTAATTAAACTGCTAATCAAATAATGATTTGAAAGGCACAAAGAAAGTTTGGGGAATTTAATCGCTCATTTTGCAACTCATTTAAATTGCGCTTAATTTCTAACATCTTTCTGACTTCGTGAAAAGAAAATGCAAAATTAATTATTTTCTCATCTCAAACACGAAATCATATTGAATTTCATAAAATTCCATACAACTTTACACGTACCCACACAATATATAACTATCGTTTTATAATTACCTTCTATTAAAATATTGCTGTGCTATATTAATAGCGTGATTTCCTCTTTGACTCGCACACGCGCTCTTGAACATTGCATTTTCGCTCGAGAGGGCTGGGAACTCAATTTCAAGGTTGATTGTGTCGTAAACTGTACGGTTGATTACGAGGAAGTACGCGGGATATATAGAATAATAAATAGTCCAGGATACAAGGGCGTGTGCAATCGGCGGAAATTCAAGGAGACTCGCGAAGGTAACGGATATGTCAAGACGCGTGACGTAAATTTCATGCATAAGTAATTTAAAGAAGAGATAAGTGTCATTAATAAAATTTATTATATATCTCATTTACCCCCGTCTCGTCTTTAACGTCGTTGCACGTCCTGTTATCTTACTTAAAGAGAGATTCATGTCACGTCGTCCTGTGACACGAATCGGTACGCGCGATAAATTGGACACAGTAAAGTGTGCGCACACGTATCGTGTTATTTCGTGTGTCCCAGGTGGAGCAGGGTTTGAAACTTTACCGGGCTCATAAACAGCAGGCCGCGGTCAGGAAATGGAGAGGCGCCCTAAAGAGCATCAGGCACCGCGAGGATAAATTCGCCCTCCTCGGATATCTGTATCAGGCATACATGGATTGGGGAAAATACAGGTGGATTATACATGTATAATATTTGCTACATAATATATGTGTATGCTCCTTTTTTCTTCTTCCTTTTCTCGCAATCGTTTTCTTCTCGCGTGTGTATTTAAAAAGTGAAACAAGTCGAATTACCCCTGTAAGGGTTATTAAAAGTAATCTAGAGGAAAGTAGACCGCGCGCGCGAAACGAGGTAAACAGGTCAAGTTATGTGTACTTGTTTAACTTTGCTAAAGAAATATTATATAAGTGTATTATATACAATGTATTTTATTAAAGTTTAATATGAATATCTTTATTATGAATGTCCACACGACTAATATAGGATAAGCGAATCTTCTTGTTGAAATTCTTCAAACAATTAAATCTCATATATTTGGGTTATTTTGAATATTATTTCTCGAAAGGGGAACTCTTGGAAAAATTATTAAAATTTTTAATGTCTTGAAAAATCCGCGAATATCTAAAAAATCTTTTCCTTTTTACATATATATTTGAGTATATTAAATATATTTTCTGAAACATTCAAGATTCTGAAAAATAAAATTATTATCAAGAGAAAAAGTATATATTTCATTTATAAAAACAAGATCTTATTGAAATTTATGAAATTGTCTTTCTTTTTATGAATTATACTTTAGAAAAAATTTTTCATTGTATCGATATTAGGATATTTATTGCGACACTGATAAGTATATTTATTTTTAAACTTTGTAATATTGTAGAAGATTTTTCTTTCTATTTATATATGCATAGATTTTGGTAATTTGTACGATTATAATTAAATCGAATAGAATTATAATATAATTATATTATGTAAATATAATATAATTACATTATGTAAATGTGTCTCTTATGATTAAACACGAAATCTATTAAACATCTTTCTAGAAAAATATGAATTTTTTTCTATATGACATTTTATATTATATTATGTTACTGTATCATAAATGTAATATTAATTTCTCTACACCTTTAAATTATTTAAGATTTTCAATCATTCCTAGGCTTCAAAGAATATTCAAAATAATTGTAGATTTGCATTTGTATATTCGAAATGATCTGATTTTTAATCAGATTTTTAATTGCTACGCTAAAACATTGACAAGATAATTAAATGTCAGTTTTGTACTCTCACATTTCTCTAAAAAAATATTACTCTTCGATAATAATTCCGCGATTCTTGCATCGCCGCGATTTTTCTCTTTTTAGGGACAGCATCGAATTCGGGAACAAGCAATTATGCATCTCGGAGGAGCTGGATTCACCAAACATGCGGGCAGAAGCATATTTGAATTTGGCTAGGGCACACGAGAGATTGGGTGCTCTGGACAGAGCGTTAGATTACGCCCGGCACAGGTTCGAGAGCCTCTTTCATTCGTTACAAAGTCTATGTAAATGAACGTAATATAAACTTTGAAAGTAATTAAAATATGTAACCCTTATCTACGATTAATTTTTCCTCGAAACATATAATTAATTGATTAATAGATATGTACAAATCGAAATTGTACCTAATCGTATCTCTGAGATTGACTTCTTGCAAAAATCTCAAGTTTAAGAAAAATTAATCAAAGTGATCGATAATTGATAGACGAGTATCCTGCTGTGTTGATAATAATTTAATTATTATTAGACACTCTGCATATATGTATCGTGCTATAATTAATATCCATAATTTTACATTCTCGCAGCTTGTATAACGAGTGCGATCAGTGCGCTACTGCTGGATTAGTTCACTTAACCGTAGGCAGAGTCCACTTGGAGTTAGCGGGATTCTGCAAAGCTCTGGAAGCGTTTCAAAGAGCCCACAAAATTGCCCACTCCATTCAAGATCCCTCCTTAGAGCTGCAGGTAATTAGGTACCCTTTGTCCATTGCTTTTCTTTCTCGCAATGAATATAATATAAGCGCGCGCATTATTACCGTGATGCTTTGTTAATTAACAGACAGAATACACGCAGGAAGATTAAGAGAAGCGATGTTGTGTCTCTGCGTGATGATCATATTTTTCGTCTCGTTTACTTCATTCTCGGAATAGTTGATTAAACACCTTGATCTAATCCCCTAAATTATTTAAACCCACTTGACATTTGTTTGAAAATTCGAAAAAATATCATTTTTCCTGCGATTATATTAATATCCCAAGAATTACGTGTGAAATAAATTATTATTATTATTATTATTATATTATATTATTATTATTATTATTATTATTTTTTTTTTATAGAATAACTTTGTAACTACATTTTTTCTTTTCTGTTTTTATTGAGTATTGAAAGACAATGCAATTAAAAAAGAAATAATAAAAATATCGAATTGATTTACGCCTTCTCTTTTTCGTCTAATTTAAATTCGATTATCTGTCCGCCTCTATCTATTGTGTATCACCTAATCTGATTAAGTTCCCTTTAATTTTCAGGTGTACGTCGGCCTGTCGGAACTTTTTTGCAGATTACAGGATGCGGACAAGAGCGCGAGATACGCCGCGAGAGCTTACGATCTCTCGAGAAGTTTACAACTGGGAGATTTGAATTCGCGTCATCACCGAGCAGCGTTATTACAAATGGCCGCGGCGCTTAGAAAAAAAGGAGAATTGGGGGACGCTCACGATTACTGTTCGGTAAAGTTTGGGCCAAAGGATTTTTCGATGGGAAAACTTGGTCGGTTTGAATTAAAGATACGAAATCATCGCGAATCGTCTTGAGTCTCCTCAAAGCGAGATTTAAAGCGAAATGTCTTATTCTATATTTGACATATACTTTAGTTTTCCTCTTCCAAAAATATTATCAACTTTTTCTCAAAAGTATCTTTAATGTCTCGATTTTTTCCCTCTTAATTACGCGGGTTTTACTTCATCGAATATCTCTTCAAATTTCTCCGAGAGAAAATGCTCCGAATATGGATCACGTAAAAGAGTCATAATTGCGTAATTTATCGAGGATATTTCCCGAAGAAAATTGTAATGACCGATCAATACCGCAATAATATCATATAATAGATTATATGAACTATTATTTACGCAGGAAGCGACTCGGCTGTCGTTGGTTTCCGGCGACCAAGCCAGTTACGCCCGCAGCATCCGTATCATGGGAGACATTTACAGAAAGAAATCCGACATAAATGTAAGTAATCCATAATCATTTAAATTGTCTTGCGTTTTTACTTAGCTTTCATATAATTTTTTCTATAATCTCTCATATTTCCACACCATTAATATATCGCGTATTTATATATTAATCATAAATTTATTTTATATATATATATATATATATATATATATATATATATAAATGCAATTCTCTTTCTCATATATGTTTAATTGGAAAGCGCGATTGACAGTGACGTTCGAGAACGAGAAAAACCTTTTTTCTCTCTTTGATTATATTCATATAAAGTGACTTAAAAAAGCATGCGGTATAGAAAATAAAGTCAATATATTTACTTGCACATATTGTACAATATTTATACAGATAAATCTTTTTTTATTGGGCGTTCGTGGCAAGTGTTACGATGCTATCAAAACCATTCACAGCCTCATTGTATGTTTTAACATTGTTAGAGGCATTGTCATCGATGATGAAAAAAAAAACGCCATAACTGGAGCGTTCCTTTGCATGTCACGCACGTTACAAAAGCAATTTTTAGCGTTGTGTCACGCTTGCAACGCATATCGCTTTCATTTTATTTCGCTACGAAACTCTTTGCGAGCCCTTGTTAAAAAGCAATAAAATTTTTTTGTAAAATCCGTCCGTTTATTTTGAAATGGGGTAAAATATTGAAAGATGGTATTTCCTTTATAAAATTAAGATTTTAAAATGATCTTCTAAAAAAAAGAAGAATATATGTAATATCATATAATTTAAATATAATTTAAATTTGAAAAGTTTTAAATCCACATAGATTTTCATTTATGTAAATTGTTAACGATAGATATCCAATTTATAATTTCGCATTGATTAGAAATTCATTTTTTAGAGATTTATATATTTTGATGTCTATTATTAAAATAAATAATAGACATCAAAAATATTTAAATGAAGATTATAAAATAATAATCTATAACTCTTTCTAAAATAATCTTCTACATTACTGCATATTTGGGATTACAAATTTAATCAAAAACGATTTCAATAACCGGAATGCCTATGATCAAATAATTTATAAAATTATACATTAGCATGTTTATATACATCCACATGACACATGTATTAAATTTGTGTCTGCTCCTATTTGCGTATATGACAAAATATTGTAACACGTATCGAAGACATTCCGATGTAGAACGAGCTTCGTTTGCGCAACAGCCTCATTTGCTGCTCGCACGGATGCACGAGTGCATGATTGCATTTTCGCAGGCGATAAAAAAAAAAGAAATGTATTACGCTTGTCAAATCTGTCTTTTAGTTGGCGACCGCGCGATGCACACACAATTAGCCTTTAGTTCATGCATCGCGCACGCCGATCCTTACATCAGAACGATAACATCGGTGAGATAAAGATGGACATATTGCAGAAAGCTTTCCGACAGTACGAGAGCGCGATGGGCTCGGCGGCAGCGACCGGCGATCGGCTGTGCCAAATGGAAGCGATGGACGGGGCGGCGAGATGCCTGGAGGCTCTCAGGCTTCAGCACAAGATATGCAATTGCCGGCCCCTCGAATTCAATACCAGACTCCTGGAAGTGGCGGGATCGGTCGGCGCCAAGGTAAACTGCCAATACATTCGCTGATCATGCTTCAGAGCTTCGTATCGTTTCAGAGAGGAGGAGGGAGCGAGAGAGATGGAAAGGGGACGAAGAGGAGAATGAGAGGGAACAATGCGATGTACTGTGAAATCAATTCCCTTTCTTCCGTCAGACGTGGGAACTTGGAAGTTTCTCCCTTTTCTTTTCTCCAGTCTTCGGAGATCGAAACTTGAAATAAATGCGAAAAAGTTTTTCCCTCGTCGATTATGTCGAACGAATTGGAAAGTTGATGTCTTTGATTTTAAGAATTGCCCTGACAGGGAGATGCATATATCTGGTATCGACTCAGCAAATTTTGAATAAAAACAATAAATGGAAAGCACTACCCCAGTTTGGAAAACTGTAGTACTTTCCACAATTCTCTACGAAACCACGATTTATTTTATTTTATTTTTTTAATAATATATTTACGATTTTGTTTATTCAAATACTACAGTGGACTAATATTTGAATTAAGATGTTACTATAGTTTATCAGTCTATTGTGCTTTTTTGTACACGTTAAATCAAAAATGCTATTAAAAAACTTTAAATGTTTGGCTAAAAAGAAAGAGAAGGAGAAATATAACGAAAAGAGAAAATTAAAATATAATAAATTATAATATTAATATAAAATATGATAACAAATTTAAAAAATTCTTTAATATGGTTTAGCAGATAATAATCGTAAAAAATTTTATACAAAAGGCTAATAATCACCATAACAAGCGTTAAAGTAGGACGCAAGTATTGTTATAATCAAAATAATTATTAAATATTAATAAATATTAAAAGAAATTATAAATGATCAAGTATAACAATTTGAATTTAAAAAATTAAAACGCATGATCGAGAATAACATATTAAATTGTAGAAAAAAAAGAGCAAGTTACCTTTTATTAGCCTTTTGTATAAAATTTGATGATTAAAATATACTATATATAATTAATATAATTAATATAATATTACATTCTAATATCACTGATAACGTTTTGCACACGATATGAAATACATATTTAGAATAAGATTACAAAGATTCGATGTCTTACAGCTTTTGGTGCGGACAGTCAGGTCCAGACTGTCGCGGATTTACGGATCTTTGGGAGATGAAGAACAAAAAGGGCACCACGAGAGATTAGCGATCGCGATGGAGGAAGATCTAGAATTGCGATGCGGAAGCTGTAACGAACCTTTTGGTTTGGAAGCCGATTCTCTGGAGGCGTTACCCTGCTCTCATATATTACATGCTCGGTAGGATGCTTCGGAGATCTCGACAACTATTTTTTTTTTTTAATATTAGATGAATTAAAGAGCCCAAGTTGTGTGACAAATATAATGTGTCAAATATAATGCTGAGTAAATTGCCGTGCGATTCTTTCGGAATAATATTTCTCCTGCCCTTATTTTTCCCTGTAACGTTTGCAGATGCGCGTACGACATCCTGAAGAGACGCGACAAGAAGAAGAAGCGTTTATGTCCCGACTGCCACAAATCTGTCAGTTCACGGCTGTACCTGCATTGCGAGGATCCACACGGCATGAATACGTTAAATCATAGTTCCTTGAGCCTGGCGTCGTTGAGGGCCAGCAGCCTAGCAACACTTGAGGACTGTCACGCGACGAGTAGCGTTTAAAATAACAACAATGGGATTTCTCGTTTATTTTAACGCGTTGGTATCCGCATGCGATTAGAGATAATTTTAAGAATCATAATTCGGCAGGTAAAAAAAAAGTCAACGGAAAGTAGTACGATGCAAAAAGATTTAATGGCAATAAAAAGTGCACGCCTCGACCCACACTCGAATATTACACTTTTCCTCCTCCCCTTTCCAGCGCGAATCTTTGCATGGAATAATAATTTAAAAAATTAGAAGCGACATTATTTAATCGATACTCTTGATGCTTGTTATTCTACAAGACAATTTGTTATCAATCTTCTATTATTAGTTTTGTTATTAATTATTACTTATTAATCATTACATTAATTATTATTAATTTATAATTATGTTGTTATAGGCATTTATGAAATGCTGTTATAAATCTGTAGGGGTAGATTTTTACATTTTTAAACATTTTAAATATAGTACGTATGATTGTAGAGAATTGATATAATTAATTATCGATATATTACATTTCTTCTTTCATTTTTTATTGAACTTTAGCTGTTAGAATTCTATTTAATTATTACAGTAAGGTTATCTTCAAGATCTTTAATGGCTTTCTGGAAATCCCTTATCAAAAATCTAATTTGAATTTTTAAAGTTAGCTACCTTTTGGAAATTACACATATATTTATTTTGTTTATATCAAAAATTCAAATATTGAAACGATTTAAAGAGAGATTACATTCACACACTCTTAATAATAAAATATATTAACTATAATTATAAATTTAATATTAATATATTAATCATAATTATAAAATATATTAATTAAATAATTAAATATATTAATCACTAAGAATAAAATATATTAAAATAATAATCTTTTTTAATATAAATATATAAATATATTAAAATAATCATCTTTTTTATTTAAAAAAAATTTTTTTTCATCTTTTTTATTTCATCTTTTTTAATATAAATAATTTATTTCAAATTTATTTTAAATTTCTAATTTATTTCATCTTTTTTAATATAAATATATAAATATATTAAAATAATCATCTTTTTTATTTAAAAAAAATTTTTTTTCGTTAAACAATGCTATTGCAAGATGTTAATTTTACTACAATCTGAGAAAAAAATTATACAAAAATTATAACATTTAAAAAACAAGGAAAACGAGACAAAAAGATTATCGTTGATAACACGACGATATTGATCGATCGCGTGCACGTGACAATAAGACCACGTGTAAACTCGTAGCTAACGCGTGACGCGACCGCTCGAAGGAATCTTCTTTCATGCGTCAAATCTGTTCGTGAATGTGGAATTAAATCTCCTCCCGCGTACATACATCACACAAACGTAAAGCACGTTATACACATCTCTCTCGAACACTTCGATTCGCCCAGTGTATACCCACCTTAAGCCGCGACTGACGTTAGCCGCCAGGAGTTACGGCATGGCCGCCATGGCAGCTGATGCTCGTCGCAGCACTTGACGTTTAATCAGAACATGTCATTTTGCAGATTTCATTTTCACAAATGGCAGACTCTTTTTTCGGTTTCGATACCACGCTCGGAGTAAGTATGCTTCTTGTGATGATCCCGCGCGCGGATGCGACTCGCGTCCGACTCGATATTTCCAATTCCAGCGAGGTACGCGAGCGTGAACATGAGCCTCCTTCCCGATAAACAGTCGCGTCGCGGCATATCTGTAATCCTTGCGAGAGATAAAAGTCCCGACCTGCAAGATCCGCGGGATCCCGCGACGTTGTTTTCACTCGAGACTGCGCGATTTTCTTCGATCACGTCAATACTCGATCTCGAAAATAATGAAATTATTGCCAAGCGATCAAGCGGGGTTACGTCGGGTTAACCTCATTTCTATTTCCCTCGCCCTAAAGGTCATTAACATCGAGCACGGCGAATCCCAAGCGAGTTTGCTCTAAATGAACGTACGCGTGTCGCTTTAATTTTCAAGTCCAATTTGCTTAAATCTCCCATATCATGTGGGAAATGTTTCAAAGTGTGACTGTAACTTTAATCCACTTGCAGTCTCTTTTTCAACTTCCCACGATTTCGTTTCTCGTCCGATAGAGTTGACGATATGTTTGTGTTTTCTGTAATAATCATTGTTTATTTGGTATTATCAGGATAACAATTTAGAGGATGGACTGGATGGTCCATTGGAGGAAGATGAGTTTGAAGAGGAAGAGTACGATGCCTTGAATGACGAAACGTTTGGCCCTGATGCGACTATTGGTGATTGGGAGGAAGATCATGAAAAGCTTGCCGAAATTACAGAATCAAATCGCCCACATAATCAGAATGCGACAAATAAAAAGGTACATTGCAGATGTTCGAAATGTTTTTTCTAACATACATATATATATATATATATATATATATATATATATATATACACAAGGTGAATCATAATGGTTGTAGCACCTTTAGAGATCAATTACCGATTGCAATTGTAATCAATTGAATGGTTCATAGATGATAGCTGCTTGGATCGACCGTGTCTGCAGTAATGTACAAGCGAGTTAAATACTGTGAATCAAATAATATACATATTCTATGCATACTTTTCTAATATATTTAACTCTTTTATGTACATATTTTTCTTTCTACACGGTTTTTTTCTAATAACGCGATTTCTTATTATTGTGAAACGTATCTGCCGCGTAAAAAGAGATATCTTTTGCATTCGTGTATCTTTTAATACGATTTTTTTTTAAATAATGGTTTTTTAATATATAGAATTTGACGGCGATTTTTTTCATTCTTATACAGAACATTTTAAAAAGAGTTGGATTGGTAAAGATACAAAAATATTCTTTTTTTCTAAAAAAATGCGTAATTCTACTTTTTACAAGAAATATTCTGCTGTAGATATTAAGAATGTAAAAGTTATAACTTGGAAAATTAATAATAAACAGAATAATTCTTGTAGAAAGCAGAATTATGCATTTTTTTTATAAAAAAAGAATATTTTTGTATCTTTACCAATCCAACTCTTTTTATGCGTTAAAATGATTTGCGTAAGAATGAAAAAAATCTCTGTCAAATTCTATATATTAAAAAACCATTATTTAAAAAAAAAATCGTATTAAAAAATACGAATGCAAAAGATATCTCTTTTTATACGCTAGATACATTTCACAATAATAAGAAATCGCGTTATTAAAAAAAACCGTGTAGAAAGAAAAATATGTACATAAAAGAGTTAAATATATTAGAAAAGTATGCATAGAATATATATATTATTTGATTCACAGTATTTAACTCGCTTGTACGTTACTGCAGACACGGTCGATCCAAGCAGTTGTCATCTTTGAATCATTCAATTGATTACAATTGCAGATGGTAATTGATCTCTAAAAAGGTCTGGTAAAAGGTTGGTACAACCATTATGATTCACCTGTATATATATATAATACAGAGTTTTGAGGACTTGAAAATTATTAGAAAGAACCTGTGATTCACAATTCCAAATTAAATTTCATCCTACAATGTCGTTAAATTAATAGGTACAATGGAAAAAGTCATTTACTTATAAGAAACATTATAAAAAACTGACTACAAAAGAATTAATTTTTGCTATTACTACTGTAGGGATATTTTCTTATTAAAAATATTATTTTAAATTCTATATAATATTTCTATATAAATATACATGTTTTTCCAAATTAGTATTTATATAGATTAAATATCAAGTTGCAAAGAAATATGCATTCACTTATACAACGGGAAATATGGAAATATTCTCTTGCATAAAAATATTTCACATATATTTTAAACTTGTCATATATGTACATTAACTGTACTGTGTAATTCAAATTAAATTTTATGTGACGATCACAGATATATTATTAAAACATGAATAATATCTAGCTTATAAGATACAATTTAACAAACAACTTTGTAGCATATCAAAAAAGTACTTAATCACACTTTATTCTACTTCTATATGTTATTGTACTATCATTTTTAAACAAATAAACAATTCTATATATCTCATATGCCTTATATATTTGTTTACAGAATATTTCTAATATAGATATCGAGGATAATTTATCACATTTGGTATTGGATAAAGAAGGGATAGTTCCACGACCTGGTGTATGGGGTAGCCCTTTGAATCTATCTCCTCCAAAAGCTCAACCACGGTTATCATTGCCAACTTTAAAAAATGCTTGTACTGTGGAAGAATTGGAAAGGGGGCTTGTTGCAAATAGGCCACCTCCAGGTCTCAGTAAACCACAAACGCAACAACAGCAGAGGAAATCTGAAGGTTCGCTTCTCTTTGAAGCTTTATCTTTGAATGAAAAATTTCAGGTCAATGGCCTACCTCCGACACGTTTTCCACCGGGGTTAGGCCTACCTGGAGCCCATCCTATAGTTTTGCCCAACATAAGAGTACCACATCCTCAATTGATGCAACCTCCTAGACTATTAGGCTTAATTAGTAAGTATAATATTTATCGTTTCTCTACAGAGTACATATTAACACATTATATATGAATACATGTGTATGTGTGTGTATTATATTTATACAAAGTATGAATCGATAAGTATTTTTAAATTTGAATAATTTCACAATTTTTTGAAATCAGATATCCTTAATTATATTCATATCAATATAATTATATTTAGATTGCATTATATTAATATAATTCTTAGATTGCATCATATCAATATAATTATATTTAGATTGCATTATTTTCTAAATTATATTATTCTATCAATAGAAAATCACACATTTTATGTATTTCTATCATTTCTATATATCTATATTTCCATATAATGTGTTAGTATATATTATGCATAAAGAAGTAACTATGAAATGAATAGATTTTTGAAAACTTGATATTTTTTAGTAATAATTCTTTCATTTATCAGATCAACCAGGCAATATGTTACGTTATCCTCTACCACCGCATTTAATGTTATCACAACCAGTACCAAGGCAACCCCTTCACGGTTCTTATAATTTCCCTGTAAGTTTCTCTTTCAATAAAAATACAAATACTATTATTGCAATTAAATTATTTTCATGTTAAAATATATTTTGTAAATAATTATTTATAGCAACCACCACATCCTAACTTAGGAGGCCCACAATTTCTTCGACCAGATCATATGATGTCTGCATTTCCTAATAATCAAGCCAATCATCATCAACAACATCAACATTCTTACTTAGGAAGTCAGAGAAACCAAAACAGATCTTACTATCATAATGACCAACAAGTTGGACACCAAGCATTTTTTAAGAATAATCAATATCCTCATCGCAATCATGACAGAACTAATCAGAGATACTATCATCAACATTATTCTCATGGTGTTAATGGTAATGCTTCGGGAGATGAAGTCTCAGGAAAACTTGCTATAAAAGCTCACGAGAAACAATGGTTAATCAATATACAACTGTTACAACTTAATACAATTCAACCATATGTTGATGATCATTATTATATCGTATTCTGTGATAAACGGAATAAGCGACATGCAAATCAAGAACAAAAAGATAAAAAACACCATAATAACAATGGATATCATAGGGATCATAGGTATGTTTTCTTCTTTTCCCCCTATTTATATTTAATTATATCATTTTCCCTATATTTAATTATATTATTAAATAAGTTTTATTATATTATAAAGAATATAGTAAAGCTTAGTTAGATATGCAGATATATTTCTTATAGAGTTTCCATATATTTATATATATTATTTAGATAATTATTTAATTCATTTTTATGATATATATAATGATCATCAACATTTCCAGAGATTGGGAGCCAACGTCTCAAGCTCCTTCAAGATCAGCATATACGCCAGCTCAATTTGAGAATTCATTAGGTAAACTTCATTGCAGTAGTGTTACTGCACCACGCAAACTTATAGATATGGATGTTGTATCAAATAGCGATTCTCAGTCTAATTCTCAATCACAACAAAAGGATACTAAAAAAACACGCCAATTGCTGCTTGAAATCGAAAGGGTATCAAACTTTTTACTGTGGTTAAAATAAATATTTCGTTAATACACTCTACATTAAAGAAATATTATTTTTTAGCTGTATACATTGTTATTCAAACTCGAGGATCTAAGCAATCCTCTTGCTTCAATTCCGGAACCGCAACAACAGCAGGAAGGAGAAGCTGAGACAAATACGATTAAAACGGAACCAGAACTAATTTGCATAACATTATCATGTTTGCAACAATTAATACAAGATGATAAGTTAGCTAGTATGCTAAGTATTCGAAAAGGAAAGGTAAATTGATAAGCAGAAAGATTTAAATAATTCTTAATAATTATTGTTAATTGTAACTTATATAAATATGTATTTATATATGTATATATGTATATATATATATATATATATATATATATATATATATATATTGTGTGTGTGTGTATGTATGTATATGTGTGTGCCATATGTTACTGTGTCATGTTTTATATATGTACCTATATGTTGCAGACATTATTACTGCGTTTTTTACCTCATCTGAATGTGACAGAATATAATAAGCAGTTAAGAGAATTGTGGACTGCAATATTTAAAGGATTAGCCGTGATAGGCCGTAGAGATTGTCATTTATTAACGGACTTTTACTCCGAATTTCGAAGATGGCTTAATGCTGTGAAAGATTTTGATACAGTACTGCGATTAGCAAGAGCATTATCGGACTCAGCTACTCATTCTCTTAAAAACAACAGTTTAACTTTTGCTCTTATGAATAAGGTTAGTCAAATAATTATACGTAATAATAATGAATTTTTCTTAATAAACTCAATGCTCATATGATGCATACATAAATGCATACATCATATGTATATATATATATATATACATATGCATACAGAGTCTAGAAAAATTTTATTATTATTCTATTATTTTGCTACTTGTTTTTTCAGTTTGGTGTGTCTGCAATAGCAGCAATGCTCGAGCAAGCAGAACAATTATGCGCTACAAACGATTCCCTGCCTTCTGAATGGTCAACTTTCATAGAAACTCTAATTGAAATAATTGGTGGCTCGTCACCCTGCGTTACACCTTGCCAACCGATTGCTGCAAATACGCTCAATAAACATCTGAATCGGATTTCCAGTTTAAAGATAGAAAGGTATACAACGCTAACGCGCTTATTGACTGAAACCAATCCCTTACGATAGTCTAACATTACAAAAGTTATATTTGGCAGATTTTTCCCCTCTTTTCTTTTCATGTATGAAAAATATATATAAATTATGCTAAAAAAGAATAATACATACAGACAAATATTTTAATATAATTACTAATGTTATCGCGAAATATCCACTATGTATTATAATATTTCTAAATAGATGCCATGATTTTACAAAGTAGATTAAGTATCTGATGAAAGATATTTAAAAAAAATTTATATATATAAATAGAAATTCTGAGCATCTTGATGCACAATAAAATTTCTTACTCGTATGTGTATAATATATATCATCTTTCATTGTATATTTTGTACACATTAATCAGTTTTTTAACTGATAATTGGTAGCATTAAAAAGCCATTATATCAGAAAAAATAAACGTGCATCCGAGAAATATAATAGAATTGTGCATGCCAATAATCTTTTTAGAATGATTTTTTAAATTATAGTATTCTTGATTCTACTCTGTGTAAAATTGGTATCTAAATAGCATGGAGCAATTGAAATAATCACCTTGATTTATTTCACTATATAATGCATTAATCCATTTTTTCATTATATATCACAAAGACAAATCAAGGTGGTAATTTCATTGCATTTACTATAATAAACTGCACATCCTATCTTCTCATGTTATTTCTTTTAATTAAGACATATTAAAAATAAGAAAGCATTTTATATGATATATACATATAACTAAAAGAGGAAAGAGTATAAGTTTCTACTAATTAAATTATTGATTATATAATAACATATTTAATTTACTTGGACGTATCTTCGTATAGCTTTTTTTTAATGAGAATTTTTCTACTTAGAGATACATTAATAGTTTTATACGCATTAAAAATATTTTTAAAATTATTTTCATTTATTTTTTTCAAAAACTAAATTATTTTTTTTTCATTTTTACTCTATAAGAATATATATTAATGCTTACATTAACAGCCTTATATAAAACTATGCTGTTAAATGTATTTTTTAAAGTTCAGTTTTATATTTATTCTACAATTAATAAGTATATATGTGTGGATATATATTATTCATGGAAAATGAAGCATGGGATGTGTATGTTTCTACTTCTGTTCATACAAAACAAAATGTACGTTATTACGCATCGTTATGAATAAAATTAATAGTGCTAAAGAAGAAGAAAAAAAATTGCTGTCAATGTACAGATGACATATTTTGGAAATAATGACAGATAATCGCATCGCACTGTTAAGATGTAATTACAGAGACGGGAGACGAAGACAACAATTGCATAAGTTAGTTATCAGCAGTAAAACTGTAATAGCCTTTTTATAAAAGCCGTTTGTATTATACATTAAGTACCAAAATTAAATTTCTATCGGTTTCGACATCAGAAGCATGTGATAACATGAACTTTAATCTATTATAATCTAGTTATAAAAGACGTTATATAGTCTTATCAGTTTAGGAAGTATGATCTTTTTTTTTTCTCTTGGATACAATAGCTATTGTTAGGTCAATGGCGACTTTGTGATTGTGTAATGAGAGGAAGAGAGAAAGAAAGAGGCGATTCTGTAATTGCAATGTGTGTTTTTTGACAGTAATGTAAGAATTTTAAAAATAATCTGAAGTGTATGTGTGACGACATGGCCTTTAGAGTACTAAATAAGATGATTACTTTTTATTGCAATTTAACTACGATCTTGTTTATGTATTTCTAGCTTGTACATAGAGCGATATTGATGCGTGAATGACTGGATACATTTTGTAATCAAATGCAGAAATATTTCGGTTTCTGCCATGTCGCATGACATAATAATATTATAATATTTTGCGGAAACAATTTTTAAAGTTAGCGTTCTTGTTAATACTTTGTAGTTTTAACGAGTATAGTGATAATTCATTCGAGCGATATTTTCGAGTTGAATTGATATTTTGTAAAAGAGAAAATGAAACTCATAAATAATTGCATTGCAGTTTTAATTTTGCATACATGTAAAAACATAATTCATATTATTATTTAATTTACAAATATTTTATTGTATCAGTCTTTTACTAAAAGATTATTTCTATTTGGTATCATATCTCATTACAATTAAATATATTAAGATACACTTCAATTTTATTTGTTACATTTATATAAATTAACTATCACATATGAATAGCTGTTTATATATATATAATATATAATATATATATGTGTGTATATATATATATATATATATATATATATATAACATATATATTTATATATATATACATATAAAAAAAACAGTTATTATTTCAATGTGATTTGTATGATTTAATCGATATGCATAATAAACAATGTATAATTTTTTTCTATTACTATCATTAATTACATTACACAAATAGAATTTTTGCAATTATGAATTATACGATATTAAACAAAAACAAATTGAACTAGAGAGATGTATACTTGTTAATAGTTCAAAAAATTTTGCCAATTAACATTTTCATTATTTTGTAATAAGCTGACAAAGAAAGTTAAAAGTTTGTTTTTACATAAGCAATGCTAAAAATCTAAGGGATGATTGATCCCATTAGTTTGTAGAAAATTATGCATGTCTGAAAAGTCCAAGAGTTACATTACATTCTTCTTGCTACGTAACTGGGCTCACAGCTTCTGAGAATAAACTTAGTTGTAGATGCAACATATTTATCGGTTTTTTTGTAATTTCGAGTTACTACGAATTTTTAAATAATTTTAAGATTACTAGAAAAACATGCGTTTTAGATTTATTTTATTTAAATTTCACTTTACTGATTTATATATGTTAACAAAAAAAATGAAGCGATTATAAATATATTATTTTTTTAAGGGCTACTGAAGATACACATATTTGGTAAAGCAATATGCTCTTGTTGTTCATTCAGACTCTACAACAGTCATCAAACTTAGATTTTTTTTTATCATTGTCATGTTTATTGCAATAACTAACGTGTGTTGCCTTTACAATTTTTTTATTATTGCCCTAACGTCAATTGTTGCAAAAGTTCGATGTTACGTTGCTGTTGCTAATGTACTAATTGCATCAAAATTTCATACTCTAGCACAGCATAACAATATAGAATGAATCTATTCAAATTGTGTAGCGACAAAAGAATTTTGTTTATAAATATCGTATATTTTAGTACTAATCAGATATATATTTGTTTCTTCTCAAAAAACATATATGCAAATATGAAAAAATATTATATCATAATATTGTAATAATGTATCACATTTTCTGTTTGTCTCGCCGTCATGGAAATCGAAACTTTTGCCAATGGAAAAAAACATGCAAACATGTCTTCTTGTAAAATAGATAAAGTGATTAAAGCGAAAAAATTGCGATGTTTAATTTTTGATTAAAGATATATTTTTATAGAGACGCTACGTTTATTATGTTTAAACGAAACAATGGAGTGGAAACTATGTAATATGGAGTATTGTAAAATCGAGATCGTTAAATTAACTTAAAAGATCCTACATAGTTTATCATCTATATTACCTACATATTATGTACCCCGTGATACGCGTCTGTACATTAAAAGAAAAAAAATTGATTGTAAATTTATAACACAATCTGTGAAAATATAACTGTAGCTGTTGTGTATGTACAGAATTGATCTAATTTGAAATCAAAGTCTTAAATAAATGTTTTGCATCCACATATATATAAATATTTTCTGTAGTTCATTTATTCCATAAAATTATGATCTCGTCAAATTTTAATCTTATAAATTATTATTTATACTCTTTAAAGATCTGTAGATTAAATATTTTTAATGCATTCAATATTTTACTCTAAAAATACACGAACTTTGCAAATTTCAAAGAGTTGGTAAAGATTGTCTTAAATTGAATTATCTGATAAATCTTGGAGCTATGGTCGCGCGAGGTTCACGTATCGAATTTGTCGCGCCTCCCAGTTCCCAATGAAATATATTTGCATACAATACGAGTAACATCTGATATTTTTTTTTTACATTCATCCTACATACTTATCTACTAGAAATACTTATCCTCAATAAATAAATTGCTTGGTAATTTTAATAATAATATGTTTACAATACCTGGAGCTATAGTCGCATGGAGTTCACTCGACGAATTTGTCGCATATTCCCACAAAATAGATAAATGTGTGTAATAACGGATAATAAAACGATCATCTAGTAGTTTTTTCAGCATTCTCAGCGTTCTTAATAGTTTTTCTCAGCACTTCCGACACTTTTCTCAGCACTTTTCCCGACACTTTTCGACTCGATACTTTTACACTCCCGATATGGCAATCGCCCGATACTTTTTTCGGCACTCCCGATATTACACGTTTATTTTGCAAATATTTATTTATCAGAAACATAAAATCGCAATTCGATAATCGTAACTCGAATGTGATAAGCAATTTTCATCATCGCAATCATCCATATTATAATGTAATTATAACTTTTGTAACGATTAAAATATTAATTAAAACTATAGAATATGCCATATCTTTGATGGCAACGCTCAATCGCGATTAAATTTACATCACAGACGTTCCGATGCTAAATAATACATTATAATTATATGCACGTAATAAACGGTACGCGAGCGCGAAGACGACTGAACTTTTCTGTTTTAATTTTATTACGAGCGCTAGATTTCTCGCGCATGCGCAGCGGACGCGGTGCGAATAATTACGATTTAATGAACAATAAGAAATTATATAAATACACTTTTCGTGTAAACTAATATATTTCCATGTAACTAATATATATTATTATAATTTATGCGAATATACACAACAAATCTTAGCGTTGCAATTACTCAAAAATATATAGTCGATCGTTCGCGCCGAAAACCCGGTTTATTTATCCGCCGTTTCCATGGATACTGTGGTGTCTGAATTGGCGCGAATCAGTCATCTCGACGAACGCATCGATTGAACGTTAACATTTTTAAACACAAATATATATTAAATACAAATGTTATAATACATATGTATGTGTTGAAAATAGAACGCGAACACGTATAGCGTAGTAAAAATTTCATTATTACTGGTACGTGCGTCACGAGTCGACTGAGAACAATACATCAACAAGTTTCGAAAAATTCGAAAAGGTCGCGAGCGAGGGAGGGGAGGGGAGAGTAGGGGACGCATTCCAAAGCAGTCCGCTTTTGTTTACGATACGCGGCAGCGCGAGTTGCTCGTGTGCGTGATACGTGTGTGTACGAATCGTTTTTAACGACGTAAAACATTACATCGAACGCGTAAAAATAAAATACAAACGTAGGACACAGGAATCCGGAAGTGCGAAGAATCTAGGCCCGAACTTTTGTCCAGCTATCAAGTACGTTTCGAGAATCGGCAGTATATTTTTTGCAGCAGATCTCGAAGATTCGCGTTAGAATCTCAATTTCGTGTCTCTTTCTTTCACGATTATCGAAAAATGTGTGTCACGCGTTGAGAATGATCGAAAATAGTCGATATAAATATAATATACGTCATATGTGATTCCGAGTCTGAGTGTTTTTTTTCATCGACGTGAGCTGATAATTCGACTGCAATTAAACTCTAGTTAATTTGTAAAATAATGACAAAATTTTAACGATATAATATTGATAAAAATATTAATAATTATTCTGCAGGAATTAATTAAGACCTTTAAGAACTTAAATATATGTGTCTTTATTTATTTAGAAACGAAGTGAAAATAGTGACGTATTTAAGTCTCGTTAAATTCAAAATAATATGCACTTTGCCCTTTGACCCGAGTCCGGAGTCGACTTCGCGCCATTGAGTGAAAAACATTCGTGATATCGAGCGTACCAAGGTTTCGCGATTATCCCCAGAATAGTTGCGAAATTTCGTTCACGAAGAGTCCGCAGGTCTCTAATAATACTCGATCCGTGGTCTCGAGTTTTACTGTGACATTCGTTGACATTCGTGCTGATCGTGCGGCGCTTAACCTCCGCGAGTGAGTTTCACTGTGATAACAAGTCTTCTAACCTCAAACATGGCCGACTGCGAACAGGATCCAGGAGACCGGCTCGACGGCGATAACCAGAAGAACGATAAGATGTTCACCCTGAAGAAGTGGAACGCCGTGGCTATGTGGAGCTGGGACGTGGAGTGCGACACCTGTGCCATTTGCAGAGTTCAGGTTATGGGTGAGTCTTAATTAATGCCAAGTCCAAATGGCTCTTTTCTCTCTTTTCCAATTACGAATTACATTAATTTCCATCGACGAAATGTTACATTCGGTCAGTTGTAACACAATGTGAACTGTTACGTTGACCATCTGCAGAGTGACAGTGCGCACATGTGTATGTGTGTACCTATTGCAAAATGAATTTGCGTTCAAAATTTGATGTATCATATGCTGTTTTATGTTAATTTGATTCCAGTTGCTTGTAACATGAAGCGTGACTTGATTTGTATCATTTGGCATGTGTTGCGATACACATTAGTCATTAACACAGGGTACAAACATTAATGTACTCGCTGTCATTTCATGCGACAATATTTACAATATTACTTGTTCTAGATAGAACATGTTGTTGTATTATAATTAAGAGATTATTAATTATTAAAAATCTCATTTATTTCATATCAATAGAAAATTTAAATGAATTTAAATGAGGATTAAAAATGAAGATTCTTTTCTCACATAAAAAGATATAATAGATGTTTTATATAAAATAGCTTTGTATTTTTAATGATAATATTACATGGCATTACACATACTAGAGTTTCAAAATTTATATATCTTTTACATTTATATATATCTTTTATATCTTATATCTTTTATACCTTTACATATCTTTTATATATTTTATATATCCATTATATACAGTTTCAAATTTTATATATCTTATTAATATCTATTACTTACATCATAATAGTATCGACTTAATTGCTAAAACATTACATTGAAAAGATAAAAGGGATATAAAATAGAAATGACAGTTTTACATAAACATATTTATATATATATATATATATATATATAGTTAATCTAAAAATTATCATATAATTTACAAATTACATGTAAACTTAACATGAGTATTAAATTATCAAAAATATTTTACCATCTTTATTGTGCTTTGGCAAATATCTTATAAATTAGTGGAGAGATATCACTTACATACATATAGCAGAAAAATATAAAGAAAAAGAAACAGAAAAATACAATGATTGATCATTGGTACAAAGATAGGGAAGAGCGATACAACTCAATTTTCACATCAAGATAAGGCATCACACTTATTGCTTTATACAATATTAGACTGAATTAAATCTGATACATTAAATCGCATATAGGAATGATTTTTTGTTCGATTTACTTTTAAAATGTGGCTTCTCACAGCACTCTATAAACAGTACCTATTTTAACATTACTTAATATATGGGCAAAAAAATAACAATTAAAAGAACATTTTACAAGTACCTTCTTTACGCTTCTGTCTATATATATATCTATAAATGAGATTCGCTAATGGAATTTTTCATTCTTAAATCGGACGCGCACAGCTACAAGCACACTTGTGATCACACATTTAACGCTTTCTAATAAGTTTTCGTCGATCATCCATTATGATATGCTGAGATTTATATTACGCTGCGTCAAAACATACCATGAGTGTACCCAGTCGAATGCAATTAAAATAAAGCAAGATATATATAAATATATACACATGCACACTCTGGATGTAATTTATCAAATGTTTTATTATTAATTATTTTATTCAGATAAGACAAAAAAATTTTAAAGAAAATTTAGGCTTTTTAAATGTGAATTCTTAAAAAATTTTTTAGAATGAGATTTCTCAAAATTCTGTTTCTTTTATATTTCACTTTTTGAAACTCTTTGTAAGTTTTTTGTAACATTCTTGCGCCCAACTTGTTTCTACAATTCTTTCTTTATATACAATCAAACGATAAATTAGTAATAAAAATATATATTAATAATTTAGATAATATATACAAATTCATTGCTATTAATATCTTTCGTATAAAAATTCGCCAGCGAACTTTCCTCCGATTACATTATTTGACCGGGGACACTCGCTAGGGGTATCGAGGCGCAGTTTTACGCTTCAACTTTTGAACATTGGCAATTCGACGGGTTTTACACGTCCGTCTGAGACTATACTCTTACGCTATTTTATACATAAATTTTCTTTAAGAATTTTATCACAACTACGTTTACGCTTTCCTACTTTTTTCTACAAACCCTTGCTTTAGAGAATATAAAATATATGTATATATCTTCTATCTATTTAACGCTTATCTCGTGATACATACGTACATTTAGAATCGTGTTCACATTGTTACAGCGATCGGGTTCCGAGTATCATTCGTTTAATATAAAGATTACAATAATATGCGATCATGGGCTGAGAATCATTCCGTTTCATTTAGGATCAATCCCTCTTCAATGTTGATTAACTTCGAGATCGTACTTCTCTTCCTCTCTCTCTCTCTCTCTATTTTTTTTCTCCAATTTCTGCGTCGCAGAAAGAAGCAACAAAAAGAAGATATCGCATCACGATCGAAGTTAACGATTTTTGTGGATACATAACATTATTATCTAACGGCGCAAAAAAGGTTTCCAATTATTTACAATCTTGAAGAGGGAAAAAGATGCATAGGAACGCGATTGTCTTAAAATTTATATTTTGCTCGGCAAATTCGCACTGAAGGATGATCGGTTTCTCTCTCGGTCAGCGTATAATATATATATAAGTACATATTATGCGTATGCTTTTCGCAAAAATCAAAGTACACGTGGCGGCAATTAATCTCCACGTTGATCATGCCGCATCTTCATGAGCGAACATTGCATTGTGCAAAAGAAAAAAGAAGGAAAAAAATACGAGACTCGCGTTGAGACCTATCTACGCATATCTGACCGTAGCGTAACATTAACCTGAGGTAGGTCCTTTAGGACTGTCGAGTAATAAAAACTACAATTGCAACTACACACCTAGTCAACAGCTGATAGCCGCGCATATCGCGTGTCATTTTCCTCGGGGGAAACAGAACAGCTGTTACCCCGCGAGACTAATTTAAAGCTAATTATAATAATAGCCTTGGATAGATTTGTATTAAGATCGATAACCCTCGCTCTCGCGAATTTGGACTGAATAAAGTATTGGCACTATTCCTAATTCGATCACGCATCTCGAATATGTATGAATCGGAACAGAATCTGTCAAAGTTGCGTTGTTAGGAGGATAGATTGAAGAGACAGATGAACAAAGTCGATCGTATCGTGCTCGATTTTATAAAGATTATCATTTCAAAAATTCACCAAAGAATTATTTTAACCGATAATCTTTCAAGATTAATTTCTTTAAATTCTTAAAAGATCGCTACTGCGTTGAAACTTTCATCGATAGAAGTGTTCGTTCAATTGTCCCTTCAACTCTTTCAATTAAGTCTTACGAGAAAAATGCTTTGTTCCTTCATATATTATTTTTCTCCTATTGTTTTATTCATTATCTCTTCGAATATCGTTCCTGCTTAAATTCGTCGTGATAGACGAACCTCGCAATAACGAATCGAAGATTGAAAGTAAGAAGATAAGAAGAGTCGAGGGGGAGAGAGCAGATACGCCTCTCTTCTTTGCACGGAAAAGAAGCGTACCTTCGAACTTAAAACTTCCTTTTAAAGGAAAACGTACGTAAGGGAATCTTTCCGTTAGAAGGATGCCGTAAGAAGTTCTCTTCTCGCAAACGAGCCTGCTCGTCTTCGATAGGACGCGCTGCGACTTTCGGATTTTCGCGACTAGCACGACATCGGCATCGGTTTCATATTGGCGACTGAGCTCATCCTTCTAGTTCGGCCAGTAAACCTCTTCTCGATCTCCTCGAGTGACCTGCCACGCGTTTCCGGCACGCTGACGATCACGAAGCCGAGACCCACCGCGACGATGATCCCGAACAGCCAGAAGGTACCGTGGGCGCCGATCAACTGTATGATGTCCTGGAAGGTCTTCGTCACGATGAACGTGCACGACCAGTTGAAGCCGGTTGCGATGCTCGCGGCTGACCCGCGGATCTTGGCGGGTAGGATCTCGCCCATCATCAACCAGGGTATCGGTCCCAAGCCCAGCGAGAAGCCTATCACGTACACGATTAGGCTGACCAGCGGCAGCCAGCCGAAGGCCTCCACATTCATGTCCAGTGATTTAGCGTAGAAAAATCCACCCAGGGCGAACAGAGTCAGGGCCATCGACGCGGCACTTATGTACAACAGCATCTTCCTGCCCAGCTTATCGATCACCCCCGCGGCGACGAAGGTGGCGATGAAGTTCACTATGCCGATGATTATGGTCGACACGTTCTCGTCGATCGTACTACCAGCATCCTGGGAACATTGTTGGTTCATTCGTTATTCGTCGACTTTCAAAATTCGGAAATTTATCAGCGCTTTCGCGCGGATTAATTCGTAATTTTATCTGCGCGATTAAAAAGTTTATGAAGTTGAAAAATGATCGAGAAATTATATTAACGCGGAGATGAATACATACCTTGAAGATCTGTACCGTGTAGAATATTACTGCATTGATACCGGACATTTGTTGGAACAACATCAGTCCGAGGGAGATGAGAAGCGGCTTGAGATTGCCTCTCTTCATCAGTTCCGAGAACGTGCTCTGCGAAGAATTCCGTTCGATCTCGAGGGACTCTTGATGTATTTTCTCAATCATGCTCAATTCCTCGGTTATATCCGCGTTCTTGCCGCGCAACCACTGAAGGGATTTTCGCGCCATCTTCGATTTTCCCTTTGAGATATGCCATCTTGGTGTTTCCGGGATCATGAACATCAGAATTAAAACCGGTACCGGCAAAGTCGCACCTAAGAGCGCTAGGTTTCTCCAATCCATATACATGCCCGCCGTGAAGCATAGTAATATTCCTGCAACATTCGAAATCTTTATAAGAGGGACAATAATTTGTGTAAAGAGCAAAATATATTAATTTTAAAATATAACGCTGTCACAATTAAATAGCGTTCAATAGGTCGAGTAAATATCGCATTAATTTCTTTATTCAGTTTCTTTTTTATTATTGTCCGCGCAAACAATAAAACTAAAATAATATTTAAAATGCATATTTATTATAATATTAAATATTATAATAAATATAATATATAATTTTAAATATTATAATATATAATTTAAATATATAATTTTAAATATAATATAATATATATTATAATATTTAAAATATATATATATTTAATCCGTATTTATATATTTAATTAATATATATTTAATCTATATTTATATAACAATTAAATATATTTAAAGTTTATCGATATTCTTGATATGTTTTCTAGTAAACGCGTGTAAAACTGCAAAGTTTCATTGTCAAATAATCGATGAATGTTTGAATCGATTAAATTATATCTCCAATTAAAAAATTAAATTCTTAACTTTTTAATTAAAATTACATCATTAGCTTAACTTACCAGTATTACCAAAGGCGGTGGGCATTAAACCGAGTGTACCGCGCACTTCCGGCTGTATCGTTTCACCTAAGTACACAGGTAACGCTAAGGAAGCGACTCCTACGGCGAATCCGCATAAGGCGCGTCCAACCAGCAGCATCGCGACATTCTCAGCCATCGAGATTAAGATCCATGCTGTAAACACATACACGTATCGATATAACAAAAAAAAAGTCTACTTTATTCGATATAAAATAAATTAAAATAGTAATTTAAAGATTAATTTGAAGATTTTAAATAATTTTAAGATATGCTAGGATGAGGAAAGTTCTCAAAGCTTCATAACATTATCTTATTTACATAACATTCTATCGATTTCTGTCGATGATCTTACCTCCAAGGAACGGGAACGACGTAGCTAGGATCGTGTTTCTCCTTCCGATGTATTCGATGAGCGGTCCACCGGTGACACCACCGAAAAGCGCGCACAACGGCATGATTGATCCAATCCACATGCTCTGCAACACATCAATTTGGAATTCGATATAGCTCTCATATATTAAAAGATTTTTTTTTAGATTTTACCATCATTTATCACAAAACTCTTAATTTTCAACTAATATTAAAGTATTAAATTATATCTTTTAGACTGAAGAGTTAACTGGAATTGGAATTTAAAAAATTGTTTGCAATTAATTGGAATTAATTGCAAACAATTTTATAAAATTAGAATCTTTTTTTTTTAATAAAGAATATTTTAAAATATTTACGTCATATATAATTGTCGAAATATATTTTATAGAGATAAACAAGTCTCGATAAAATACTGGGAAAGGTCGAGTCATGCAGTGGGTGTCGTGATGATCTTGAATTGTTTAGATTCAATTTTGAATTACGATCGCGTACGCTGGAGTAATCCTGACATAGTTTTGTTCGTCGCAGGTCCTTCGAATACAAATAAGGCCGCGGGGAAGCCGGATAATGTCAAGGAAAACAATCGCGAAGGGCGAGAGCAACGATATTATTTTGGTCGCTCATTCGACCGATTGTGCGCGCCATGCGTCTTAATTAAATTTCTGCGCAACGCGCAGAAAACGCCTTACGAAATATCTGCCTCGCGCTTGATTAGGTCGCTAAATGCTGTATAATTATTATCATAGTAGAAAATAATCGGTGACGAATTTTAATGGAACATTTTTTTCAGACACAATTTATGAGAGCAGTCTTATGAGAATATATTTGAATCATTTAATTGAAGTTAAATATGAGAATATATTTGAATCATTTAATTGAAGTTAAATATGAGAATATATTTGAATCATTTAATTGAGAGAATATATTTGAATCATTTAATTGAAGTTTAATAATATTAGATACGTGGAAATATATTACTTTCAATATTATGAGAGTAAATTTAATCTTTTTCTATTAATCTAAATAAAATATGTATTTTTTGCAACACGATTAAAAAATAAATTTTAGTTATAAAATAAGGAATACATTAATTAAAATATTTCTCTAAAAATACATATATATCTCTCTCGAAAAAAAACAAAATTAATGTTTAACATATTTGAAGGATAAAAAAATTTTATTAATTAATGAATATCAATTTCAAATATTTCATTTATACTTTCATCGAGTGTTCGTGATTGGATATCGATATTCATTATGAGCATCGCGACTCGTTTAAGGCTTTGAAGGTGCTTGTCGAGCACGAAAGCGGAAGCGCGCTGTTCACGCTCGCTTACGTATCTGGGATCAATTTCCGGCGTCATCGTCACGGAGTCTTACGAAAGAATTGGCGGCGTGTCCGGCGAGCTGGCCAATCGCTTTCGCGGCCATTAGGGCATAACGGCTCCGCAACCAATGCGATCGTAATCGGGTCATCGTGCCCCTGACCTCGCGCCGATGACGCACTCGAGAGATCATCGTTAAAACCTTTCAATTATCCATTGACCCTACAAATGTTACGATGGTCCTTTCAGCTGCTCGCGGAGAGAGATCACGATATAATTTACAATGTGACGCATTACGCTTTTATCATTCGCGTCATTCTTGAGCTTCGTCCACTTTGCACTTGATGTCAGACAATGTGTAGTCGATAAATAATTCTTTTAATTTTTTCCTTGACATCGTAAATCTAATCAATCGATTTGCGACCAATAAAATGCGACACACTTCGAAATATGCGATATTTATGTGTGTGATTTAGATGTGAAGGAAAAGAATGTTTTATACAGATATCTTTCGATGCCTTTAAATAAGGTAGAAAATATATCGCTAGAAATTTATTACAAACAAATATTAAACATGCGGTAAATATCCAGTTTTGATGAAAAGTTTCGCAGATTTTTGTTTTAAAATTCCGTGAAACGATACGTTTTAATCGCGAATCGCGAATAAAACAAACCCGCGTACGATCGATAGTGAATGTTGAAACAAACGTGCCCGGAATCTTGCAAACTTTCCGCATTCGTCAAAAAATTCGAGTCCTTGTGCCAGAGTATTCGAGACACGACGATGTTATTATTCGAGTACGTTTGTAAAAGATCGTTTTCGCAAACTTGATTAAATACTTTAAATACGCAAACACCAGGATTGTTAAATGCGATGATTTCGCGGGCGAGAATTTTTTTCGACGTGATTTTTTTTTGACATACAATTTCGATTAATTCGAGCTGTACCTCGAAACATGTACTCACCATTTGTGTGGTAACTTCGAAACTCGTCGTGGCATTTTCGCGCATGGATACCAACGCTGGTGATGTATACGAACTCGCATAACCGATCTGCAGAGAACACAGCGATACCGATAACGCAGCCAATATCTGAGAACAAATATAGGAAACATTGTGAAAATTGGGAAGGATTAGACACAAAATTTTAAATTTTTCTCTTTAGATATTTTTTTTATAAGTCACGATTGAATCATAAAAAAATAAGACGATTGTCAAAAGCAGACATCGGTATAAATCCAGTTGAAAATCAATTATCGCGTAGAAAAAAATGGCTGTAAATTTCATTTCAAGTTAAAAAAATATATTTATGTATAATTGTTTATATAATGTACATGTTTATATAATTCATATATGCACACGCATTTTATATATTTATTGCATTTGTTGAATATGTATTTGTCCAATTATATATAACGTCTTGTCTGTTTATTGATTCTATCTTGTGACTGAGAATCGAGATCGAAAACAGTAATTTAAACGATATTTGATCAATTGTATAATTTGCGTCATTGAAGAAAGTTTCGATGAGTTACGATCACATGGAAAATACTGTCTTATTTTTACAGTTCTCGTACCAATATGTATTGGTCATTATTTACTGGATTATTCGTACAGTGTAAAATAAGAAAAAATTAAAAAATGTTCAGTAAAATACAATCTAATCGGCAAGAAAATAATTTCTTGACGTTTGTAGAAATCAATAACAATCACTGACTGGTCTTAAGTAATGAGTAAATTATATTATATAAATAAATCTTCAGATTGCCAGATATAATACGTGTTTAATTAGCGCAATAACTACGCATACCTTGCTCCGATATGTAAAATAATTTTTTTTTAAATTATGTATATAATAAATAAAACAAGAAAGTTTTTTACTAGTTTTCACACAATAAAAAGTGTAAACACACACATCTTCCAATTGTAGCACGAATTAAGATATTCTGCATATTACATACAACACAACGATTTATAGTTTTATCGCGGGATGTCTCATCTGCAAATGAAGCAGAGTTTCCAAACTATTTGTATTTTTTTCATATTCATGATACGCTTTCGCATGTGCCTTTATAGGATATTCAAAAAGTGGAAAAAATATATCGCATTTTAAAAAACTTCGAGAAAATTTGAGAGAATAAATGAATAATATTATGATGTAATGGGCCTTTTACCTGAGTGAACGTGCATTTCGCTACCGGCGCGCTTTCCGGCACCTCGATATTTACGTGGGTGTCCGCTCGCAGGAGGATCTTCATGATCGCGGATAGATCGAAGATCGAGGCAAAGGGGACCTATTGAGAAACTATAAACATGCCCGATCGAAAATTTGATTTATTATCTCGATCAACGAAGTTCGACTCTGTAACTTTTAACAAATGTCGTTATCAAATGTCGATATCAAAACACATGCGACGATAGCGACATCGTTAAAAGTTACAGAATCGCAGTACTATCGTCGTTACGTCAAATAAACGGTAACGATCCTCTCCAATTATAACGCGAAAATTGATTGGCAATCGATCGAAATCGATTTTTTTCGATTCACTTGCGTAGAAATTCTCAAACCCGATCGCGTAGGGAAAACTCGAGTTGTCAAGTCCGATCCTTCCGAGGATCGACCGGTCGTCGGGATGAGAAACGCGAAGCTTACTTTCGATTTGCGCGAGGGAAACTCCGATATCGATATGACTTCCGTCGATCCGCGCACTGACACGACAATGGAAGTTTTTTCGATGTCACGGTATGATATAAGCTATTGAAACTCGTGGACCGATCCGCCGGGTCGATTTCTGTCTTATATAGGGAACAATGCTGGGGGGCTGGCTACCCCTTCCTCTCGCGATCCGAGAGAATCGCCTTCGTAGATCATGTATGTATTACTGCATAATATAATGATCGTATCAACTTTGTACCTTCGAAACGATACGCGACTTCAATTTCAAACGTATAAAGAAAGAGGGGGGGGGGGGAAAGGCCATTACATATACTATTATCTAATTGTATTTTTTATGTATTTCGTGCAATATGAAAAATGTGATAAAAAAAGAATTTGCTTGTTTTCATAGAATATTATTATATTGTTTAACTATACTTTTTATAGCAATTTCGAAGAAATCAAGAAAACAGTCGGTCGTGTATTTCGTGCAACAAGAAAAATATAATAAAAAAAGAATTGTTTTGTTTTTTATAAAATAACATTAAATATATATATATTTAAATGTTTAATATATATTTTAATAATTATATATATATATATTATATATATATATAAATTTTTTTAATTTTTCTATTTCTGTATCACGGATAAATATTGAGCATCGAAGATTATTTTTTATCATCGCTGCTCCGTATGATACATCACGCTATTTTATTTTATTTCGATTATTCGAGATAAAAAAATGTAATATTAATGCTAATACGTAATATTCGCATGGCTCATTAAGTCTTTTTAAGAGACCGCGATGGATAGCGTATATTATAACCACACGTGTCTTTAGCATCTGACGAGAATACAATTGCTCATGTTTGTTAACAAAAGGATAATATCTTACGTAAATGTTTCGCGGCGTAGAACATTATTTCATTGGAATAATTTTCCTTGTCATTACTTTAAATAATTTTCTCGCAGAGAAACGTAAATATAAAATCTGATTTTTATTGAATACAAATCATTTGTGAGATAAAATTTTTCAAAATTCTTCAAAAGTTTATTTTTTGCAAAAAATGATTGAAGATGTAAAATTCTTTAGTGACTGAATATGCAGTTGAAGTTGAATGCAATAAGAATTTTTTTATTAAAGAGATTACTATTTTGTTATAATAGTCGATGAATTATTTTTATTGTCAGTGCGCGATATCTTCTTGCAATGTACGAGATCTCTATTTCATTTATCTATGACTACGTACATGTGGTTCGTGAAATTTACATTCGCATGATGTGATAATGCGATAATAATGTTATTGAATTCTGGCGGCGCCCATGGAACCGCCGACCATGAATGTTGCACGCAAAGGCATAAAAAAAATATCTTTAGTTTGTTGCGTTATGCAATACCGTGCAATATTGTAGGGCTGCATCTGCTCTCAATTTATCTCTTGTCTGGTGCGCGATTGTTTCGTATACACGTAACATACGTGCAAGTCGGATACATATTAATAAAGCGAACTTGTTTAATGCGAAATTAAATTGTTTTCATTCACAAATGTATTAAAGTTTTGAATACTTATCTTATTAAGTTTATAAGTTTTATTCCAGAATTTGTTTCTTTTATTATAAGATTTATTTATAAATATTCCTGAAAGAATATCTATCTAATATATATCCTCTTAGTTTTTGAACAAATATATTGAACAGATATATATTTTGACACAGAAATAATTCATTTCTACAACGCAATTATTACGCAATTTTAGTTGCAAAAGAATAAGAAACTGTATTGTAATGTGATTCTGGCAAGCAATATTTTGTTTACTTATTTATAAACATTAAATAGCGATTTTAGGAATCATAATATTATAATTCAATATTAATTTTAAAAGTCACATCTATAATTTATTAAAATAAAAGAAACAGATATAATTTCCTTAATTAACATTTTTATATAGTATAGTTAATTTTTGATTTATTGAAATTCTCAAGGTTTTTTATAAGTAAATTTTCAGACGAAAATTAAGAAGAAAATGATTATAAATATGGATATATATGCGATTTTAATAAAACGAATGTCATGGGTCGACGTCAGAACATCTGGCGGACTACACGCACAGTCATACTACTGTAAGATTCGCGCATCTTTAAACACGTACCATTTAGCATTTTACCTCTGAGACTATTAAAAAATAAAAAGAAACTAAATGCATCTTTTGATCAGCTAACGCGATAATTAAGCTGATAATTAAAAATTAATCGCGTTAAAGTTTCTCTTATTAATAATGTCTTGCCAATGAATATCATATTTTCAAAATAAAGAGTTTCAAAATAAATAATGTCACATACTTCAAAATAAATTTTCGAAACGATGTAATGTATATTAATGATTAAACGATGTAATGTATATTAATGATTTAGCTACGATTCCTATTAATTTGCTAGAGAAAAAATACTCGGTTTTTCGCTTATAATCTTTAAATTGGAAAATAAAGATTTATGTAAAACATACATAAAAAATAGAAGATAAATAAAACTTACCTGGGTGGCATATCGCAAACAGGACGTGGTCTTATTCTGATATTCCATGGATACCATTCGGGTGGGCTCTTGCTCATCCTTTGGTGGTTTCACGATTTCCTGAGAATCCATGAGGATCTTGATGCTTGGACTTTGCTCGTTCGGTAGCAATGGATCGAGCTGCTTGTAATCGACGTCCTGATTTTTATCGAGCGGATTGTAAATCCGCGTTAAGGCCTTTTGATGGTTGTTCCTCAAGTTCTCGGCATAGTAGTGGTTTGTAGATGATTTGCCAGTATCGCCGGTAAAGTACTTCTTTTCGGCGATGAGGGCGGTTTGACTGTTGAAGGGACTGGCGTTTGTCACGAGAGTGCTGTTGGACGAGCAGTCCAGGCCAGACCCAGCACTTGATGGCGTGGGTCTGATGACCGGGGACACCCTTGTGTTGTACTTGGGTAAAACGCTGCGCTCCTGTAACCAAAGTTACCGTTCTTTCAATAAGACGTTTAAAGGATCTCACATTTCCAAAAATCGATAAAAATGTTCAAAACGCGCATTGACAGTTGACAGAAGGAACTACGAGCGTGCGACAGCGAAAACTTAGCTACGGAAACCTTCATTTTTGTGGGAAAATTTGTTGCGAAAATTGATCTACCAAATTGATCGCGATCAGAAGAGGCTGACGTAATTTTTCTTGTTTGTTTTTAAAGTTTTATGAAATATATACTTGGAAAATAGTTCATAAAAGTGAATATACGAGTTAGAACCAGAGAGAACCGGAAGAAAGGGGACGAACTGGACGCAACTTGTTTGCTCCTCTTTGCGATAAGATGCCGAGCATAAATCTACTGACGAAGAAGAAAAACAAAGAACATTGCGCGCTATAAAAATTATAGAAAATTAGAAAATTATATATGCAATATTCAGTTTATTTGTTCGAAAAGAGAATACACTTTTTTTTTAAACAAAAGTATCGGAGAAATTTCCTTTTTTTAAGAGAAATTATATACATTTTAAAATATATATCGATACAAAAAAATATTTAGAGATATCCGACTTATAACAATTTTTACCAAGAGAATCTAATATTAAAAACTGATAAAATTATAAAATTTTTTCAAACTTGTAAAAAGTCTCATCTTTCTCGACACATTTCATCGTCGCTTCTCACAGAAATCACTTGGAAATTTCCAAAATCACTGATTATTTTTGCGAGAGAGAGAAATATTTTCACGGTTATCAAAGACGAAATCCGTGAAAGGAATCAAAACAAATCGTTCGATGATGAAAACCATACACTTAAAAGATACCGGATACAAATAAAGGATTCTAAAACCGCGAAAAACGAAGGCAAATAAGGCGAACGAAATTGTGTTACCAACCGTTAAAGAAAAAAACGTTCGTTTGTTTGCTTCTTCACTGTTCACTCAAAGGGATGAAACATCAAATCGGACTATTTATACCACTTTCGATTATCGGGAATTGCGTTGGAAGTACGTTAGAGAGGGAGTCAAATCACACGGGAGGAAGAAAAACAGAGGGCGATTGACGCGTATGTAAACAGAGCGAGAAAGAAGAGAAAAGAACGTTAAAACGATTATATACATGTATCGAATGAACCAATGACGAAAAACAAATGACACAGCGAACGAGGTGATGATGTTGGCTGGGAGATTAGATGACTTTTTACCCCTGAGAACCGATAACCCGTCTTGAACCTAAGCCAGCTATGTTGCTTTCGCAAACGATTTTCTTTCCTTCGAGTTTGCATGAAGCATTACAGAAATTATCAAAAAAAGTCTTGATCGAAATAATCATATTTTATGATAATGTACAGTCAAATGGTACACCAGAGATAAACTTTTGCACTTATTCCGAGAAAAAATCGGTCTTTTAATACTGTATATTCTATATAAAATTTGTTTTATATATTCATTTTTCTCTCTGTCTATTGCTATACATTCGTCTCCTAATAATATTCTAACGTATTTATTTTTTTTAACGTGAAGATTGTTTTCAATTCAAATAAATGTAAATTTTATCGAGGTCTTATTCAAATATAACGATAATCAAATTTTAGATCATGGTATATTATATCTTAATTACGAAAGCAATTTACACTTAATGTCAAACTAGATAATTGATTAAAAATATATATATATCTACTAATTCATATAAAATCTATAAATTTTTTAGAATTTTTTTTGGTTTTCAATCACGGGGAAAAATTCATTAAAGATGATCATATTTCTACTCGTATCGAGCATCAATACATTAATTCACAAATAATTGCATTGTTGTCAAGTTGTTCCACTTTAAATTGCGATAACCAATTTTCAGCGCAACTTTATTCTTGATAATGCATCGTACATTTAATCAATGCGTTAAACAAAGATATTTTATTTGTGTCATTAAATTTTACGGTACTTATTATTGCTGATGCTGTGCATCGCGGTCGAATAAATATAAAAATTCTTTTGTTCAATCAATTTAGTTGAAAAACATAAATCCACAGAGGCGCATCACACGATACGTCATTTTAATCACGCTGTCTAATGGAACTATTGTGTCGAAAAATCGTCTGTTTATCCCGCTATCACGTGTTTCCTACATGAGAGGTAAAGTTCACGAACGATATTACGATAGGAACTCTGATGTCTCCGAGAAAAGCTGGACATTTGACGTAGTTCTTTCGAACTTAGTACGCGTCGATTTTTCTCTCCTATGGAATAAAATATTCTGACGTACTTATCGACTTACGAAAAATCATTATCGCCCATAATTACACAATACCGATAATTCGCGATTCAAAATCTTTTTAGACTCATGATGACGAGCTCTCGTGTGATAAGTGTATTGATAAAACAGTTGCAATTATGAATTGCCACTTTTTAGCGAAAGGTATTTGATGGTGGATATTTTAATAATGGACGTTGTGTTAGAGAAAAATATATAAAAAATATATGCATCGTATATTAAATAATTAGTGAATCAATAGTTCTTTTCGCAGGTTTAATAATTTTTTTCTTTATCGACATAAAATTAAAAAAATATCTAAAACAAATTTATAAAATTGTAAATTGAAGACTAATGGTGTGTAATCCCATTGACGTGTTGTGTTTAATTTAACGTAGTGTTCCTGATCTTCGACGCGGAATTATAATTCAAGAACAAAATCAATCATTAGGCATAACCATTCGCGAAAACATGCTTTCGTTTTCGTGACAATGGAACTATCCAAGATAACTTCCGCGTTTGTCCAGAATTTCCGCCTTCTTCTGTTTGCGTCAAGGTAAACTTGTATCATGATAATAATAAAGTGTGCACACCAGGGATTTAAAATTGCTAAATTATTCTGTATATAATTAATAAACGCTCGATCTTTTTGCTGAAGGCGAAAGATAGTTGTTAATAATAATGATAATAATGAATGCATGACCTTTCTAAACATGTTTAGTGTCTGGCGCATTTATACGTATGTTCGAATTGCGATAGGATCGATTGAGTCAACTGTAGCCAAGTATTCTTTGATGATTGTTGACCAAGGGATAATTCCATCAGGAGCTGTTTTCGTGTCAAATATTAGCTAAGATTTCCATGTAATAATAATTTTGATTAATGCAGATTTTCGGATTGATTAATATGTTCTTAAGAAGCTTGATGTTTTTAAAAAAAATGTGCATCACAAACTTTAGAAGTGTATTATATCGAAGAAAAAAAATTATTTTGCATAAATTAAGATGGAAGCATAATTATCAAAATATTTAATATTATTAATCAGTTATTGATTCATTCTAATTGTCTGTTATATATGCATAGTCTTTAATCTTTGATTCTTTCCAACTCGATCATATACGTCAGCAGAAAATATCTATAATTGAAAATATCTATATATTTATTTCATTCATTTATTTCTACAGGAGGTAGGTTAATTGAAATTTTGCAATAGAAAATTCATTTTTAGTCGAGAAGAAAAGTCAAATGAAAAATAAGGGGAAAAAATATAAATTATTTATGTGAAATATACACTTTTATGATACGCCAGTGTTATTATGAAGAAGAAAAATTAATTTCAATTTGCGACAAGTCTTACAAATCCATTTTTTAGCAGCCAATAAAAAAATGTGTTTTGTCCCAACCGTGTAATTTTATCTATCATGTAATTTTCGTCACGCGATCAAACTGATTTGCATTACAAACCAGAAAGGATTTCGCAACATATTGAAGGGTATTGTTACGTCGTAGTGTAGGACTACATACAGTACGTAGTATAATTGAATCAAGCATGGTAATTGAATTACAAAAATTAATCACTGCCAGATCGTAAAATTCCAAAGCATTGCAAATGAACGTGCGTATATTCGAGATCGATTCTATCAAATGTTCATAAATATGTTATCGCTCCATCTCGGGCTAATTGATTTTTATTTCGTATATTTGCAAACATTTTATTGTTTTAGCGATTATAAGGTTTAAAATCGCCTTAAACATATATTCATTACACTCAGTTTTTATGTATATTTTTTATATATATGTATGTGTATGCAAATTAAAAATTTTAATCAAACGAATACAACTAGAATCATAAATAATACCACCAAAACGTACATACATAAAAAGTCGCATCATGTTGAAAAATTTATGGTATCAGATATTAACATGCATTGCTGGAAAATCAGGCAGCGCAAACATTCTCAAGATGTAAAGAAGACGGTATCATCTTTGAGATTTTCTTCAGATAACTCCTTGAATGATATATTGCACGAGCATTCTCAGGTTCAATGTCAAGGATTTCCTGGATAATTACGGCGGAAAATTTTCCAAATAACCTTGAACGCGAGTCTTCAACCGTGTTGTTATGCAAGTTTCTACCGGCAATTTACAAAATTAGATCTCTCATTTCTTTCTAAATTAGTTGCACGGCCCACGCAAATATTCTTAGTGCTTCCCAACGTAGAGTCTCTCGTCCAAATGATGCTATTTTTGCGATGCGTGGAAGCCTGCCAAAGAGTACATTTTCGTCTTAGCGGATACTTTGTCATTTTGTTCTCGGTCTAAACTAACGAATGCGTATTCTTTCTCTTCCTCGACGAAGAATAACGTTGCTGCTTCTTATAGAACTTGCAATATTATAGGGTCTATCAGAGTAATCATATTTAATTGTGATAACATTCGCATTGACAGTATTTTTCAGTCAATGGAAATTATTATTATAAAATGACACGAATTTATATGTGATTCTTATTACAAAGTTGTTAAAATTGGTAATTCTATTATTGGAAAATATATAGACACGATTCTATAAATGATATTATTGGTATCAGTTTTGATTTTGAAAATGAAAAGGTTTATTTGGCAATTCCAATATACTATGATTACAAAACTGTGTGCTAAATCTTTAGAATAAATTCTTAAAATAACGTCACTTTTTAATGGAAGATAAAACTTGTGTAATGACAGCTGTAGAGATA